GTAAAAACTACATTTTTATCTGAATCTTTTATACACTTTGAAAAGGTCATCATACTAAGTAATAAAAGGAATATTTTTCATATAGAAAATATACCTTTATAACTATGCCTTGCTACTTACTGGGCTCTATGAAAAATAAATAGTGTTTCTTTTCTAACATTGGCATTAATATGCTAAGTCTATTATGGAATAAAGTAGACCTATTGTTGGAGATTTGTATGACATTTACATACCTCATCGTTCGTCCCTGGGTTGATTCCCCATACGAAATTCCATCCCCATTTTCACTCCCTTAAGGGATGATTTCCGGGATAAAAAGTATCCTATGTCCCAGGGTCTCAAACTGTCTGCCCAAATTTCATCTAAATCGGTTGATTAGATCCAGAGATTACCCCCTACAACATTACAAACTCACAATTCACAAACTCACAAATTTTACCTCTATAATAAATATTACTATAGATGTAGTTTTGCTATTTTTCAATGCTCCAATATTTATTATTTCCTTAGATACGAGATCTGGTATTAAAATATATATTATTTATTAATTTTCCTTTATTTCTTTATTAATATTCTATCTATTAATCACATTCTAACTTAATATTTATTTAATGACGTCGTATAGTCCGACACAGTTCACGGCAAGTAGGTAAGTTAGTAAATTACGATGAAACTCGCCACCGGATCGAGCCATTATTATCTATTAGCTGTAAACATAAAGTCTAAAAATGTGCCTGAGGTCATCTAATAAGGGTAAGTGGGTAGCGGGTAGCGATGTGGGTAGCATTTATTTGCAAGGAGCGGCTGTTGACATCATCAGTGTCCGAATGACTTAATGCACACTTGTTTGTTGCTCTGCGCTGCATTTTAATTATGTTTTAAGTATGTTGTAATTATCTTTAACAATGAATCTGGTTGTAATTAAATTTGAATATATAACGTACGTCAATAAAATTCTATTCATATATAATGATACCTATTAATTCTTGTGCCTCAATAACTTGCTTTGGCCCCGTCTCTATTTATATTACAATAGCCAATAAGGCTTTTCGTGAACAACAATATTCAAATTTAAAGAAGACTTTTGTTTTTGCATGTATTCTACAAAAAATATGATTACATACTCGTAAATGTAACATACAACCAACTTTACGTTGGTTGTATGTTACATTTACGAGTAAGACCTGCCCCAGCTTTTTTTGAATAACTTATTAATTTTTGTACTACTAACATGATGTTAAAATCTTTATAAGTATTTTTTAACCCATTTATCATCTTGAGTTGTATCATAAATGATATTTATATAATTTTAAAGTAATACTAAACCATAAAAATTGAGCAAATGTAGGTACAATGTACTTAAGTTAATCTCTCATAAATGATCGGACTATTTAAAAGTTGTGCTGCAGGCCATGTAACAAAAAATACAATAAACATGAAATTATTTTTAATTATAAACTTATGTTGTTTTTATTGCGAAGACTCACGTAACATAAAATTATATGCATAAATTACTATGACAGTATTTTGGTGTTTGTTTATTTTCTCGGCCCTCGTATGTTTTTATTTTCTCGGCCTTCATCGTATTTCATCTACGGAGATATCAAAGAAAATCTCATTTAATTGGCGTTCGTTGAAATCATAAGTTAAATATATTTATATATAAACAAATCTATTTTAAGATCCGTTTAAAGAAAAAGAAATGTTTTAAATTATAGCTAGTGATCGCCCAGTGCTCGACCATAATTCATTAAGTTTTAACATTACTAATAATTATGTGTCAAAGTTACATAAGTAGATGTAACCTTGTACAATAAATCTTACAGGTACATATAATAAAATTGTAACTAAGCCGAATCTGTACATTAAATATTTATAGGAAAATCTTATTGAAATAAACATTATTATCGATACAGAGTCCGACTCTATAGTTTTTAGAATTTCTGTTTGTCTGTCTGTCTGTCTTTCTGCTACCGCTTCACAAAAAAACCACTAGAGGGATTTTGATTAAATTTGGTATTGTGATAGCTGGTTATCCGGGTCAACATATAGGATACTTTTTATCGCGGGAAAATGTCTCATTACTGAGAAAAAATGCAAAAACTACAATGTAAGAGTATACTAATATGTAAAACCTAAGAATTTGGTTTTTAGTCATCTGAACGCGGGCGGAGCCGAGGGCAATGTTAGTAAACTATAATATACAAAATTATGTTTTCAAATCGGATTCATAGTTCCAGATTTAGTATTAGCGTGTGCAGACTTACAATCAAATTTTTCAATTTTACATTTTAATAGTATAAAATTAATATATTCATAATACCTATGTAGGCTGTCTAACAACAAGCTGCAGTTTTTAGAAACGGAGTATTTAGATATTCCTACATATATTTAAAAAAAAACTGCTATTTTTGTAAATATAGTGCAATCATATTAAAAGCCATCAATCAGTGGAAGCCATTTTAAAATATTTTGTCCGATTTTATTTAAGAGCGATCTATTCTTGGCGTCTGATTCATAATACGAGCAGCACTTAGGCGTAATTGCGTCGTAAGTACGTAGATACGTGTTCAAATAAAAACCTTCCTTGTATGTGCTGCTTACTTCATCGGTTATTGCGTAATATAAAGATTTGAGTTCTTTTGCTAATCTTTTTTCAGCGACCTTATCTAAGTAGGTTACTAAACATTGTAGAGCTTTAAAGTTCGGTACACACGCTATAGTTTTGCACATGCAAATCTATACTAATATTATAAATGCGAAAGTATGTGAGAATGTATGGATGCCTGGATGTTTGTTACTCTTTCACGCAAAAACTACTGAATGGATTTTAATGAAACTTTACAATAATATAGCTCAGAATTACTTTTTATCCCAGAAAAATGTACGTTGTTTTTATGTAATATTTAATACTTTTGATATTTACAGGGTGTTTTCGAAGCAATAGCACTGTTTAATGTTTATTTAAGATTTAAGAAGTAGTAGTTTTTAATCAATAACAAAAAAAAGGTTGAAGAAGTATTATAGTAATAAATTATATAGCTATAGTTTGATTTCCTTTCCATGTCAGCTAGTACACGTGTATAACTTAGAATACCGTTATTCACAGTAAGGATCGTAAGTAATTTTTTTAAAGTATCAACTTTATTTACAATTATTACATGGTTAGCATTTCAATGTAATCAAAATATAATGAGCACTTTTGTAAGCAGTCGTAACCCACATAGTTCGTTATACTAGAGTTACAAATAGAGGTAACTACTGGACTTGTCGGTATAGTAATACGAGTATGTTGTATTAATATAGATAATTACGATGTAATGCATCTTCAGTATAAACTAAGGCGATATTTCTGTCTTTATATCACAAAATGATAATAATAAATTATATGAAAAAAAACTCTGTAATAGCTTGATTGAATAGAATAAAAGTTCTATTTATGGGAAGATAAATAAATATAAGAAATGACGTTTAGCTGATGTCAGAACCGATAATGTATGTAAATTGTACATGTTACAAATAAATGTATGTATGTACAACGTACATACGGACATTTTATGTACCTTGAATCTCTTTAGTTAAATATTTTCACATGTGATAAATAAAAAAAATGTAACATATAATTACATATAATTAACAGATATTTGCAGAAATATATATATATATATATATACATATACAGTATACACCCATTTGATATAGCGTTAAATGCATCCTTATATCGTACAACTGCAATCAAGTACGATGTAGTCCAGATAAAATACTATTAAATTAAAGCAACAAGCCATACTCGTCCTAATAACCTCCATAGAGGTATTCTGATGGTTTTGACTCAATTGAATGAAGTCATAAGTCATCGAGTCAGGTGATGGCGAGAGTCAATTGAACACCCACACGATGACCTCAGATCTGTTATGTAATAACATACGTTTAAAAAAACGGTTTATTGTTTAATTATTCTCACGTAATTGTGGGAATCACGTATAGTGATTAGATTTTTTATATTTTTGTGTTATTGTGTATGTTTTATAGATTATATGAGGGAACTACGAAATAGATTATAATGGCTCGAGAGGAAAATATTTGTTTTTATCCTATTAACATATATTTTAATAGACTTTTTTACTTATTATGATATTTACATATATGTATAGATAACTCTCTGACCTACCAGACGATCTCGACAACAGTATCACCTACTGAGTACAACTACAGCTAAGAACCATGACGCTGACCCCATAAGCGTACAACAATCATCAAAATCGGTCAAGCCATTTGGGACCACAAGAATTACGAACGCACGCGTACCCTAATTTTCTACATAAACAAACAAATATTATATAAAATCATAATTACTCAGTAAAGTTTATTTGTAACATAATCATAATTTAAATGAGTACATTCTGTTTGGAATTAATGATACGCAAATAGAAAACAGAATTTTGAAGCATGAAAAGATTTTATTAATCAAAGCAAAGTAGGCGTTGTTCCAAGTCTTTATTAGATGTTGGACTTTGTAAAATATTTTTATTTACTTATATTATGTAGTCGCTGACTTTATAATTAACTGTACCCACTGTACTGACAAAATGTAAATTACCAACCTTATAAGGGACCGAAAATGCTAAAACGAGATAGTGGTATGTTCCGATAGCGCGGTTTCTTTCCCTCATTTATGATTGAATGTCAATTTCTATTCTATTTGTGAATGCGCGGGAGCAGAGTGGTTCCTTATTTAAACTGGTAGGGACTTCCTTACAGTGTGTTCGGTGAACGCTTTCTATGGAATCATTATATGTGTCTATGAATATGTAGGTAACGAATGTATGCAAGCCAATTTTTGGATCCACAATTATGAATGAAACTTATTTGGTTTGATTTAGTTCTTTAGAGCTATACCGCTTTTCACCATATACCAACCATATAAGGTTTTCGTATTTAAATAAAATGTAGGTATATTGACAATTTACATAGTTTAAATGTAATGTTTGTTGTTACAGGTGGTTTAGAAGGCAAATATCGGGTCGCGGCACCTGAACTTATGCAGGACACATTTATGAGTGACTCCGAGGACGAAGGCGGTAAGTCGCTATTTATTTATATTTATTCTTTAATCCATAGAAATACTTAATGTTCGAAGTTAACAAAAACATAGCAGTATCTGTAACACAGACTTAGGAAACTGTGAAATTGACGCTGCTATTATACTCGTACATACTACATAGTAATATGTAATGTATGAAAGAGACTAGAATGTATCTGCTATATTTATCGTAACCCGAAAAATTTATATCATATCAAATTAAATCACTACACACTATATATGTATATCTATACAGATCTTGTTATATCAAACAGTCCAAATCGTGCGCACGCGCACCCCATTATTACTCCTATATCCGAATTCCAGGAGAAGTAGAGTGCCCCATACAACAGCAGCAGCAGTACCGCTACATGAACAGCGAAGCAGGGACACTGAACCGGGCGCGCCCGCTCGAGGACAGTGTTACAGATGGACACCTGTGGCCAAGTAACAATGACAGTCGAGTCGCCACTATGGAACGACAACCGCTGGATATTGGGTAAAATATACGTTTTATAATGTTTTTTTTTTGTTCTTCACCTATATAGAATTTATAATTATAATAGTACAGCGAATATATATTATTATACACACATATACCTTGTAGTGGAATTTCACCCGGAGGTCCTGGGTTCGAGTCCCGGGTCGGGCCAAGTTTAGTTATTGAGTCTTTCTGTATAAGTAAGCCTCAGTAACAGCCCGGAGTTGGGAAGTTGGCGGTGTTTCACCCCCGTGCCTCGGAGAGCACGTAAAGCCGTCGGTCCTGCGCCTTAACTCTCACTGGTCGTGTCGAGCAGTCGTCCCACCGGAGTATGAGAGTGACAGGAATAGAGAGTGCACTTGTGTCTGCGCGTACACTTGTGCACTATAATATCTCCTGCGCAGTTGGCTAGTCTCAATGAGATTGGCCGCCGTGGCCGGAATCGGTCGGGAGAACATCATCATCAGTGGAATTTTGTTAATTAGCCAAAGTAGGTACTTATGAAACTATAAAAAGTAGTTGTGTGAAATTATTTACAACAATTCATGTAAGACACTTTTGTTTATGTTAGTTTCTCTTTCACACAAGAAAAAGCAACAGATTTGATTGTTTTTTTTTGTACAGAGACAATTGAATGGCCAAAGAATGTCGTAGAAAACCTTATGCGTCTATTTTATATCAAACGTTGCACTAAAATATTATATGATATTATATACGGGTAGCAAAACTTCTCTAGTTTTAAGTCTGAGGGAAATTTTAACAGGTCACTAGTATGCTTTATTTTTATTATTTTTCTAATTGAAGTTCTTGCCCCAACAGATTCCTGGTGTCGTTCGTGGTGGATGCTCGCGGGGGCGCGATGAAGGCGAAGAGGCGTGGAGGAGTGCGCGTGATCGTCCCTCCCGCCGCTTGCGCGGCGCCCACCAGGGTCACTTGCAGGTAATGTTTGCTTGAGCTGTGACTTTATTTTATTTTTATCTTTTTTATCCTATAGATAATTTGTATGAAAATATTTTTTTTATGTTATTGCGTTTTTATTTTGCTTTTTGGTTTACCTTTTACAATGCTTTATAGTTTATGGGAAACATAGTCGTGGGAGAGACTGACAGTCGAAAAAATAGTTTTATTCCAAATAAGAACTCGCATAAAGGTCATCTAATATAAACGCACCTTTATTTATGTCAAGTGGGAAACCCTCGATCTATACCGCTATATATAACTTGGGCCAACCAAAGAGTAACTTATAAAACGACAAAGGGTCGCCAAATTAGTTGGCTTCCATAGAGAATTTTGCGCGCAAGTCACGTTTTTTTGCCGACCTACGTTACCAAATTGTTCTCTATGAAGGATTTTTTATTTTAACATAATAATACACAGCCTATGTCCGCCCTGAAGGTATAATACTATATAATATTGATGAATAAATGTTTGAAATCAGAGATAGCAGTTTCGGAGATTACCTTCTACGTCCAAACTTACAAATTTTGTCATTATACCTACCAAATGTTAAGGTAAAATAAATTATATTTGTACACAAATATAAACGAGAGGGAAAATCACAAAAACAAAGTTTAATATTTTTAAAGCAAACATTTTTGAATATTTATTAATATGATGTTTACATACGTGAAGTTTACAATCACTTAGAATGAAAAAATAATTGAAACTTTAAAAAAAGCTTTATTCGCGTATTCTGCTTACTAAAACACCCAAAAATAGACGCACGAGAAGATAAATGAAATTACAAGTGGCAATAACCTAACAATAGTGTAAGGTCGATCCAAACTGACTCATAAACATAAATGTCCTCGGTTTTTTGGGACGTTGCCACATTACAATTGTGCTTGAGAAAAAAATCTATACCTAATAATATTATAGATAGGAAATTATTTGTCGGTTTGCTCTTCTTTTACTTAGAACGAGGATTCGTTCGCATTTTTAGGGTTCCATAGGCAAAAACTGAAACCTTGTACTTTCGTAACTATTTTAATTTAGTTTTAATAAATTACTTATACGTATATAATAATACTATTTGGTCGCATGAAGACTGGCACTGTGGGTGTTTGGTTCAGACTCGCACTTGTCCGTTTTTAAAAAAAAAGACAATAAAAGAAAGACAGGTTATGGGTCGAGAATTGACATTGGCTATCATTTATTATACAGATACTGGAAGTGGAATCCTTGGATATTTAATACAAAAAAGTTACTTTGAATAATAAGCCCTAACAAAGCGACAACTGGTCGCTAATTCTTTATACTCAAGTTTACTTTAACTAATTTACATACCAAATAATATAAAAACGTCTTTTATTTTTTTGAATTAAGGTAAAGATAGTAGATAAGAAAGATAACATGGTCATTGATAAGGTTATAATTTACGCTTCAATCCTCGTAAATTATATTTATACTGTTATCTGATTAACAAAAGAACCTAAATATAGACCATAAATAAGTAATATGAGGTCAAAAACCACATTCACATTGTAATAACAAAAACTATAAACAAAAATAATATATAATTAATCAATAAATATATCGTAGCTTCTGTATATGAATAAATAAATGATAGTATCGCGTGTCGTACGCATATTAAGTAGTTCAGTTTCGGAACTCGCTTTATTTTTCTCTAGTAAAAATCTGAACACATTGCTGATATTATCGCTTATTTGATTCGTTCTACCTATATACATGTTGCTTAGTGGTAGTCTTACTTGTTTTTACTACTATGTTAAAGGTCGCAGTTTCGATTTTAGCACCAAAGGAACAATATAAATATTTTCTAATAAAAGTCTAGATGTTTTGGTTGTTCTTCCCACATAATCTAAATTTAAAAGATTTCCCCAACTTTTGTAACATATTTTATTGCATCTTAACTAATGAGATTATAACTTATCTCTTTCTCACTTATATACACTCTCTCCTTCTCTTTTCTTTATTCCTTATTTACTATTCTTGCTTTATTACGTATATATGGTTGGTCTTTATATTTGAACATTTTGTATAATATTAAAGCATTTGCCCTTGATCGGGCGATCTGTGTAAAAATGTTAGCGACCGCAAGTAAATAGGTCGAGAATATTTACATCAAATATAGTCAACAGTTCTTTTGTGCGTCATTCTTTAAATAAAATCTGATAAAATATGTATAAGATATGTTCATATTTTAACAAGTGACGTAATTCAGTCATTCTACCTCATTTCCATTGTATTTTGTGTGCATGTTTATTTTTAAGATGTACTAAATTGTGTCATTTGTCTAAAATTAAAGATTTGTCAACTGTAAGAAATGTTCGTAATAGTTTATGTGTATTGTGTGTTTATATAGTCTTTGTCTCTCTCTCTCTGTGTGTGAAAATAGATGATGACGTCAGAATTAATTATCTTTACTGTTCACATATATTTTCTATTAATGTGATTTGGTATAAAATTACTTTATTTATTTTACTTTACCGTAATTATATGTATATTATAATTCTAGTTTTTTATTTTTTATCTATTTACTTAAGCTCGTGTTTGATAAAGGTTTATTTGTTTTATAGGAAATATTTTCTGTATATTAGAATTCATCTTTGTATTGCAATAAAACATGATAACATTATATTATGAAACATTATATAAATATCCTGATCGACATTCATACAAATTATAAGAAATAGTAATAATATATACTTATAATAATTTCTTTTCAGAGCTGCAACACGACGTGCACCTGTGGCCGCTCCCCCACCTCTGATGGAGGGAGAGGCGCTGGCTTCAAGATTACTGGAATTGCAACCTCAAGGAGCTAAGTTCTTGGCGTGAGTATGCTTTTCCATAGTAGAATATTGATTTTATTTATTACCAATAATAAAATCGGTCCACTATTATAAGTGCAAAAGTTTATATGTGTATGTATGTTACTTCTTCACGCTAAAATGAGTTATCTTTCGGAAGTAATAAAATAAAATATTATTTTACTACAGATGTACATATCATTTTAGAATCTTGATGAAATCGACCATCTTTTGATCAAACTTGCCTGCTCGGCTTAGTGTATTATTTTTTTAGTACGACTAGTCAAAGTTAGGTGATAGTAAATTTAAAGAACATTTAACGATGATATTTACTAATTTTTTTAAATATAATATTTTTTAAAATAAAGAAATGTTTCCTTTGAGTAAATCTTGAATACTTCAATATTTAAGGTACTTTTCTTCCATGTCTTATCGATTCGTTCCATCCTGTATATATACAATATACATATATAGCACATAGGCTCCTTTTAGTTATCCAAAGACACCAGCCGAGCCCCAGCGAAATTACAGAAAGTGGCTGGTTTTTTCATAAGCTAATTCTGTATTACTGTTTAATATCATCCAAAAATTAACTTTCAAACTTATCAAATCAGATCAGCCAGTCATTCAAATCAACACCAAATATAAGTCCCAGTAAATTTTTATATTATTGAAAACTTCTATCAATTATGTTTAAAAGATCTGTTAGCCATTTTGAAGGTAGACAGGACAGGCAGACAGACGAACGTTTAAGGTTTTGGTATGAAAAGAGTTTCAGAAAATTTCCATATAGCGTGAACTTTCACTAAACGTACTTGCATATAATTGAAGAATTACCTTTTCATAACAATATCCTCTAAACCTACTCAAAGAGGCATAATTACAATATAATTACATTTCCAGGCCAGTTATAATCGAAGTGCCGATCTTCACGGCGTCGTGCCCTGAGAGAGAGATTGTTATATTGCGGTCTGACACCGGCGAGACCTGGCAAGATCATTATTTGCATAATAATGATAACCCTATGATACAGGTATGTACTTATGTATTTAATGCGATATTATTATAATAAACTATTGCAATTATACATAATATGTTAGTTTTATAGGTGCTTTGGTTAGTAATGAAAAAAAATATTGAGTTTGTATTTTTGTTTATCTGATTGAAAGTATAAAAATACTAAAGCTTGCCCGATACTTCGCCTGCGTAGTTTATTACTATATAGTGCTATTTATTATAATCTTCTTAATTTTTTATTTTGAAATTTTAATACAGTTAAAGAGATTAAAACAATATAGGTATAAATAACTTCTATCTTATGGTAATCATTCATGTGGATTGGTTAAGTGGGTCCAAAGATAATAGCTGGAGCTCTAGTTTGATGCAATCTCATATTAAAGGCGGATTACTAAGTTGGTACCAAATTCTTAAAAGTACAATATATTTTTTTGTTTATACTTCTTCCACCACAAGATTGTTTTTATTTTTTTTAGATATAGTTTTTTATCCAAATACCTAAAGTAGTTCCCGGGGAATATTGCCATATTGGTCAAAGTACTATTATAAATGCATTAAAGTTTGTGAATGAACGAATGATTGAATGACTATGTAAGTGTTAATGCTTTACGCTGCAACAATTGAACGGATTTGATTGATTAGTTATTTTTTCCAACTTAAGTACCGAAGGAGCAGAGCTACGTGTAAACGCTAGTATTCGGATTTTTTTCAGGGAGAAACTGAGGTCTCTTCCATGACCATTATTGCTGTAAAGCATTCGAAACGTCGGAAACCAAAGAATCAAAGTAAATCCGCTAAAAAATTCGAAGAGATAGTTTTATTTAATAGGTCAAATATTGGCGTAAATCTAAGAGAATATTACTAGTATAGTTACTTATGTAAGTTAAACGTAGTTAATTTATGAACATTCAGGAAGCTCTAACCCGCGAGAGACAAGAGCATGGCAACGGCGGCGAGAGCCTCGGGGAGGGCGGGGAGAGGGTGACGCGCATCATCACGTGCGACTTCCCGCACTACCTGGCGGTGGTGTCGCGCGTGCGCCAGGAGGTGCACATCATCGGACCCGAGGGTGGCACTATATCCTCTGCGCATATACCACAGGTACTTTTTTTTATAAGAACTACTGGAGGTGTTAGACTGAAGGTTTTTTTCTGTTTTTAAATATTATAGCGACTCACCCTCGCTTCGTTTGAGTTCGTCCTTAGGTACGTTTTAATTTTTTTTACGGAGCTCTAATTCTTTTTCTAAGATAGAAGTAGCCATGTTACTCCCTATAACATCAGCTATATTCAAGTCCCATCAAAATCAGTCCAGCCGTTTCAGAGATTATCCGGAACAAGCAGACATACTGACAGATAGACAGAGAAAAAATAAAAATAATGACTTTTTCTTATAAGTGCCGTATATAATTTCATACGCATTTAGTACAATTTTGACAATTTTTTACAATTATTTTTATATATTGTCTTGTCTATTAAGTAATTAAACGTTAATCAAATTTACTATATAACTAGTATTTGATACTCTATTTACATTGCAAATAATAATATATTTTTTCCAAAGTTTTTGCTAGCTTTAATATACTCTATATTCATCAAAAAAATTAAATAGAAAAACAAATATTAGTGTTAAATTCTTGCTATTGGTTTCTTTTTCTGTTTATTGACGTGTGCGTGTATGTGTGCAGGTGCAAGCGCTGTTCCCGCCGCAAGCGCTGACGAAGCGCATCCGCGTGGGGCTGCAGGCGCACGGCGCGGGCGCGGCGCTGTGCCGGCGCGTGCTGCCGCGCCTGGCCGCCGCCTCGCCCGTGCTCACCGTCGAGCCGCGCCGCCGCAAGTTCCACCGCAGCATCACGCTCACCGCGCCGCTGCCGCACTGCCAGGACCAGAAGGTACGCGCCACACCTGTACACACTCTACACTATACAGTTCACACTAATCACTGCGCCGACCAAATGTTATCCACCACAACCTTACACACTCTACAGTCCACACATTTTGAATTTTAAGGGCCGCTCCACACTATAGTGCTGATCACGGTTCGCTCTTGTTTCGATATCGGTCCGATAAAGTATTGTTATATAAGAAATAATGAGTGCGTTCACACTATCAGTAAGACTCATGTCCGAATCACCCTCCAGCAAAGTTTCTTGTATAAAAAAATTTACCAGACCAATATCGGACCGAGAAGGACTGTGATCGGCGCTATAGTGTGGTTCGTCCCTAATCGTTGCACCGACCAGAATGTAGGTACCCACCACACATATGACATATACACTATACGCTATACACTAATCGTCAACTTAGTGCTTGTTTGTTCAAACTATCATTGTTTCTTCTGTAAAGTACAGTAGAGAGTTGTTTTCTGTATTTTATAACACTTAAATTTAAAATTAAAAAAAAAACAAAACAAAATTTAACGTAGTGATAACTTGTTATTCGGGTCAACATTTAGGATAACCTTTAGTGCAGAAAAATCCATTCCCATGAAAAACACGAAAACACTAATTACTTCAGCCAAGTTCTGCTTCATACAAAAGTACCAATCTAATATATTTAAACGAACAATTCTTGTGTGTATATATATCTGAATCTCGGAAACGGCTCCAACGATTTTCATGAGATTTAGCACACAGGGGGTTTCGGGGGTGATAAATCGATCTAGATTAGTTTTATGTCTGGGAAAACGCGTGTTTTCGAGTTTTCATGCGGTTTTGTTATGCACGTAATATATTTTCGCTAATTCGCACGCTAGGAGATAAGTATCGTGGTCAAGCGGCCAAGGCGCAAGTTTGATAACCACAGGTGTCTAGTTCGTATCCCGGTCGGATACAAAGCTTTACTTTTGTTTTTTTTTGTATTTATTAAATTTTTTTTATGTTGTTTCGGCCAAAAACTCCGAGCGAAGCTCGGTGGCCCAGATACTGATTTATTAAATAAGTAATAAAAATAAACATTTGCAGGTCAACACCCACGACAAACAATCAACCGCCAACCTACGTCTTCTATGCTCCATCATGGGCGGTCAAGCTCGGGCCGTGTGGGAGGACGTCACGGGTTCGACTCCACTCACAATCACCGATGATTGTGCTTCCTTCACCACTACAGTGTCAGCCAGGTACTTGTTTTATCCCAATTGTCCCCGACTAACATTTGATTTATTTAGTTCGAGATTACAAACTGATATAAACCAAAATCGTTCAGAACTACAAAATTATAATTATAGATAAATAAAATATATTCAGTAAAATAAAACAGATATTTTAAATAATAATCATTAAAATAACTCTACAAATGAAAAAGTTTTGAGACTTTAAAATTGATTTATAAAATAATTTCGTCATTTTCGTCATACTCAAGAACTACAAAATGGATCTTTTTAATGCTTCTAATAAAATGAAGTCGGTTTGATTTGAAATTAGAGAAAAATTAAATATAGAAGTATTATATTCTACAGGCCTTCGCCTAACAGTGACGGTAATATAATTTATTTACTTTTCTTACTAGATTTTGGCTGATGAATTGTCAGAATGTTAGCGACGCTACAAAATTGGCGACGGAATTATACAGGTAATTGTCTAAAAAAAATTTGTAATATCTATACATATAATAAAATTGTAACTAAGTCAAATCTGTACATTAAATATTTTTTGGAAAACCTAATTGAAATAGACATTATTATCGATACAGAATCCGAATCTATAGTTTTTAGAATTTTTATCTGTCTGTCAGTCTGTTACCGCATCACGAGAAAACCACTGGACAGATTTTGATGAAATTTGGTATGATGATAGCTGGTTTTCCCGATCAACATATAGGATACTTTTTACCGCGGGAAAATATCTCATTTCTGAGGAAAAATACAAAAACTGTATTGTAAGTTAATACTAATATGTAAAACCTAAGAATTTGGTTTTTGGTCATCTGAACGCGGGCGGAGCCGCAGCCAATGCTAGTATAATATATAATATTTGCTATTGTAATATACAAATACACTTAAAGATTAAACTAAAAATCCCTAGCATGAAAATAACTATTTCATCCTACTATTATAAAAGCGAAAACTTGTGAAATGGATGTTTATTATTCTTTCACGCAAAAACTACTGAACGGATATTGATGAAACTTTATAGTAATATAATTCATTCCTAAGAGTTACGCAAAAGCTATAAAAACATATAATAATAAAAAAATACATATACGAACAAGCCGCGGGAAACCTCTATTTAGTAGTATATATCATAGAAATCATATATGTATACATTTAACATTATGAACAAACCTTCCCAGAGAGATGCTGCTGGTCCCGTTCGAGGTGCGCATCGTGGTGCTGGGCAAGCGCCTGGACGCGCTCGAGGGCCGCCTGCTCGTGCTCTACATCACCGACCGCTACGCCTACGACACGCTGCTGCGACAGGTCACCATGACACGCTTTATACTTACATACATATACCATGGATATATGATAGTAATCATTTTAGAACAAGTACTAAAATTATTATTGTTAAACATGCTCAGTAATGTTATTAACCTGCACTTATAATTAAAGATGGAAGAGGGCGCTGATTCCTGACATACAGGTTTAATCTAGTTTGGAAGTAAGAGGCTTCAACAGGCTTATGTAACAACAGACCTGCCGCCAGGGCGCCGTAGTAGTTATGCGCAAGCGATCCTGCGGTGTCCCACTAAGGCGGGGGGAATGGATGTCGGGTTTTAGTGGGTAGTACCGGCTCTTCTAGCCGGTGAGCCCTACGTCACCACCTGGGGGATCAGGTGGTATGCGTAAATACATTTCCCGACGGTAAAAAAAAGGCTTATGTAGCAATAAACAATTGTGTCAATAAAGATGTATTCTATTCTATACACTGCTCCATGTCGGGACAATGTGTTTGTCCGTGTATGTGTGCATGTATGTATGCGTGAACGTTTACGGGTGTGACGTGCGTGTATAACAGCTGACCGAAGAGTTCGCGTACGCACTGCCCGTTGACAAAATTGGCTCGAGCTGTTGACAATCTCATGTTGAGCGTGTTACGCTCAAAGGAGAACACCGTCGCCGTATATTATGATTAAATCTGAGTCACTTCCGTTATCATATATGCTGTAAAACATTGAAAATAAAAGTAAATATGCAAAAAAATAGAATAATATATAGTTTAGTTTTAAATGTTAAATAATCGTGTAAATATAGGAGAATATTATGCAAAAATTCTTTATGTATTTGTTTATAAATTGCAGGAGCATTACACAGAAGTGGCGCACTCTACGGCTGTCAGGTTCCTTGACGGGAAACCTATATACCTAGAGTTCTCTGGAAACCTAGTTCCCGTGACAAAATCGGGAACGCAACCTACATTCACTTTTGAGGTAATTATTTTAGTTTATTATATTCTTGTATCTATATAGTATTTTTTCATAAATGTGGGGAATGGAACGTAAGAGTGAGTGAAAAGAACAACAGGTATGGGAGAGAAAGGAACGAAAGATGCAAGATGGAGGAGAGTGTGTAAGACGGGGTGAACTAGCTAAGACGGAAAAGTTAATAAATTATTTAAGACGCAAATTTCACTGTCTTTTACTTTGAGTATTTTCCCACATAAATTATATTCCTTTCTTGATGTCAATTTATTAATATTATACTACTTTTGTCTATGGCTACGTTCGCGTGGTTGTTACATTCTGTAGTGTGCATGTGTTTAAGCCTCCCCGATACCTAAACATTGTACGACCTGTTATTATTAAAGAGTATTAAACGAACCTTGGAGTCAAACAATTGTCTCATCTCATTTTATTTCCACATAACAACTCACTCCATTTCGAACTACACTCACAATGGAGATGAAATCGGGATCGTGGTCTGATCGTCGCTTTAGTAGGTACTTATTTGTTCAAACCATACATGTTATACTTTGCAGTAGAGAAATTTTTCCTCTATTTTAAAACAAAACTTTATTTCCACGATTTATATAAGTACTATACTTCAAACTATAATATATATAATATATACTATAAACTTTTCTGTGCTATGTGTAAATCTATATATAAAATGAATATTTTTTGTACAGTCGTTCAAAGACAACAGAGTTGAATTTACGGTGCGCGTGAAACACCACGAGGAGACTCCATCAGGAAGAATATACTTCATGAATGAACCTAAAGTGAGTACAAATATCAGCCTTATCGTACAGCATATATTATTGTCTACAATTTATTTATATTATACACAAGTGTACATGTAAATCACTCTATAATAATAAAACATGCGTATATAATATGTGGGAGATCGTTCGAAAACGAATAGGCGTCCATTTTTAAAATATACATTTTATTACAATGATAATACATTATTTAATTATTCAAAAGTAATAATAAACAAATTATTGAAAATATTGAAAGTACTTTCAAAATAACACTTTAAAATATAAAAATAATAAAGCAGAGCACTTATGAGCAAAGTGCCGAGCTCACTACTGAGCCGCTTCTGATCCGTCTACACCTACAGAGTGTGCATGGGTATTTATAGTCAAATGACGTAGTGGGAAACACTGATAACAACTGTCAAATGACATTTCCACAAAAAATATGAAGGTAGTGTTAAAAACTCAACAAAATACATTTTATCTCCCACGAATGTTTTTTTTGTGTATGTATGTGTTTACATTTGTAATGTATGTATGTATGTATGTGCGTGCAGGTGGCGAAGGGCGAGCAGAGCGCGAGCCCGGCGTGCGTGCTGGACGTGGCGCTGCCGGAGCGCATCGCGCCGCGCGCCGCCAAGAGCCACCTCGACTGCCTCAACCTCGACCAGTCCGGTTAGTTTTCTTTTTAATTAAAATAGATATAGAATGTTATCCTTAAGAGATAGACATATGCCATCGCGGACTTTTCTGTAGACCTATATAAGATACACAATTCCACCATACATTATTTTATTAATCTGTAAAGGGCTTAGGCAGCGTTTTCGATGAAATCTCCTAGACGGCTTAGTTTTTTTCCGTCTTATTCGACATCTCTAACAAATATCGTTATATTTTAGTCAATGTATACAAAATCTGAACAAATTATATACTAAAACCTTCCTCTTGAATCACTCTATCTAATAAAAAAACCGCATCAAAATCCGTTGCGTAGTTTTAAAGATCTAAGCGTACTTAGGGACAGACACAGCGGGAAGCTACTTTGTTTTATACCAAGTTGAAACTTCTTATGGCCCGTTTGGAAAAAAATATGAGAGCGCGGACTACCTACTAAAAGCGACATGATGAATTTACCTGCATTTCTTTTACAAACAAAGAGTTATGATATACGTGATATGGGATAAAATCTTTAGCTAGTTTTGTTCTGTTACGCCAAAGATGTTTAACTTCTTACGTGCGTACATAAATAAGTACACACACACACGTTTTATTTAATGAGTGTTTGTTTTAGTGATTTTTTTAATGAATGTGTTATTTTTATTTAAATAATTTTGTAAAATTAATAATAGTTGTATATATAGTTTGTTTTATACATCATTTGCTAACTTTTGAAGAGACATTATTAGTTTTTTTTACTAAAATCCTTTAACACTTCCAGGTAAATTTCTAAGAAATTAATTAAAATTCTAAGAAATCTATTATTAATTGACACGCCGGCGTGTCCGCGGACGTGGAGGGATTAAGAATAATTATGGCATATTTAAGAGGATTAGTTTTCATGAAGGCAAATCAACGTAATTCATTAAAATAGATTTTTAATGTGTCTATATTTTTTTATTAACTACAATAAAGTATTAAAGAAAAAAAATACGTAACGTAACAAAGTAACGTGTTGTTACGTAACGACCTAACAGATTAATTCCTGGATCACGTATCAATTAAATATATCGATAAAAACGATTATAACAGCGAAGCCGTCTGCAAAAACTAACTGCTATCATGAATATAATATGGTCATTTCATTTTTTTTATTACAGGCTTCGATGCATTGAAAGATGAGCTGAGCTTCCATTGGGGAGACCACAACCAGACGCACCACAGCGTGGGTCCGCCGTCCATACCGCAAGACATACCCGCCGCCCCGCAAGTTAACGGACATGTTAGTATTTATATACTAGCGGCTCACCCTCCCTTTGCTCGGGTTCGTCCCTAGCTTGGTTCCCCATAAAAACTTTCATCCCCATTTTCACCCCCTTAAGGGATGATTTCCGACATAATAAGTACCCTATGTACATCCCAGGGTCTCAAACTTCTTACCTTTCATCTAAATTGATTCAGTAGATCCAGAGATTACCCCCTACAACGTCACAAACTTTACCTCTTTATAATATAAGTATAGATATACACATTTGACAACACGTTTGGCTCAGTTTGTAGTGACCCTACCTACCTACCCTACTTGCTGTGCCAGTAGTATAAGCACCCTCTTGTTAAATTTGAATTATATTAATATAAAAAAATATACAAAATAATACAAATATTGCAATATAAAGATGAATGAAGTCACATCCATACAATTTGATAATTTGATGTAATATTTACCTAATTATGCTATTACTTTCCAGGATAAATCAATCGCTAATGGCGATGTGAAATACCCGACCAAAGAGACTGAAGATAAAGATAGTAAACCTCACGGTTAGTATAAATTATATGGATAAAAAAATTAAAAATATTAAATAATTATAAGAAAATGAATGAATTCTTATAAAACTTCACTTTATACATTCTTATACAAATTTCTGTTCTGAAGCTAACAAACTGCACAAAATTTACATAAGTATATGATAGCTATGACTTACTTATTTATATTTGTATGTAGTATTATTTTATCACGAACATCCATTACATACCATGCTAGCCCTCGACTCCATACACAAGTAGTATATGCTTTTGCAAACACACAAACAAAAACTTATATTTTAAATATATTCTTAAGTTTTGTATGTAATATGTATGTATATTAAAGTTATTATACGAAAATAACAGTATTCGGCTATATTTACATGTATGCTATTAAATGTATATAGTAATTTCTCTTATACAGACGCTACATCGACGACTTTAGTGTAAGTGCATAGAAACTGTAGAGTAATTCATGATTTATTTCAGTAAACGGTGACACTCAGCACGTTGATTCAAATAAAGCAAAGGCTACATTCGATTCGGATGAGGACAAAACCCCAATGAACACTTTAGAGAAAGGTAAAAAGAAACCAGAAGGTTTCTTAGGCGGACTTGCTGATAAAGTCAAAAATGTGTTCAGCCACAGTGAAGAAAAAGAAGATAGTAAAGAGTCATCTCCTAAACCGCAACCCAAACCACGTGAATCAAAAGAAAAAACACCACCGAAACCGGCACCTCGGCTTATCAATGAAGATCTTCTTGAAAAGGTTGAGGATATGTTCAAAAATGTACATACTAAACCTCATTTAAAGGATGACGATGACGTCACTAACCAAGTTTACTCAACTAAACTCATCGTTGAAGAAGAATCTCCCAATGATGTTCTCAATAAGACAGAACAAGTATACCACCAGTATGAGCATATGCAACCAGTCGATACACCTCTTCAGTGTAAAACTGTTGACCCGTTCGAATTCTACACTGGATGCTGTGATGGCAAATATAAGAAAGGTCAAAAACATCGTCACGATGAAACTTCGAATTTAGTAGATAGAATCGAACAAGTTGCATTCGTTACTAATGAAGTCAATAAAAGCGTGGAAAATAATCTTAAAGATTCTTTAGATAAAGCAGCAAAAGAAAAGGATAATATCAAACAGCAAGCTAACGAAATCAAAGAAGATATCATTGTAAAATCTGAAAATTTCAAGAATGACCTTATTAACAGAAAAGAAGAATTAAAATCAAATATTGAAGATGACGTCCAAAAAATAAACAAGGAGGTAAATAAAAAAATAAATGATATATCCGAATCAGCGGATAAAGCTAAAGAAAATACTCAAGCTAGGATCGTTGACGTACAATCTAAAGTGTCATCGGATTTTGACAATGTTATGTCTTCTGCTAATGGAAAAGTAAACAACTTATTTGAAATGGCTGGAAATACCGAGGAAAAAGCCAAAAGCAAATTCCACGAACTTGATTTCGCCGCTATGGAACGAGCTGAAGAAATGAGACTCAGAGGCCACGATAAGCTTTTCCAATTGGGAAAAACATTTGAAGAAACAACTGAAAACATTAGTCACGAAGCACAAGACAAGTCAAATGCAATTTTAAACCAAGCTAATAATATTAAAGATGATGTAAATCAATCCTCTCAAATTATTAAAACAGAAATACAAAGTCATGCTGAGAATATGAAGGATGCAACTAATAATGCTAAGAAAGATATCAATAATAAAGCGAAGAATATTAAAAAAGCAGCAAAAGATACAGTAGATGAAGCAAAGAAAGCAACTAACGAGAAAGTTAATGAACTAAGTGAATCTATTGAGACAGCTAAAGAAAAAGGACAGAAAGCTGTATCTGATGTCAAATCTAAGTCTAAAAATAAAAAAGATAAGAAAGTTAAAGAAGGAAAGAACTTCTTTACTGGTCTAGTGCAAAACATTTTTGGAGAAAAAGATAAAATTGAGGATGAAGTCAAAGAAAAGGTTGCCGAGGGCAAAGAGTCCGCGAATAAACTGGCAAAACAAGCATCTGATGCTAAGAATGAATTGGAGGAAAATCTTTCGAATGAACAGGAAAAATTAAAACAAAATGCCGAAGCAGTTGTGCAGAGTGCACAAGATAAAAAAGATGAATTATTACAAAACGCTAAAGACAAAAAAGATGAAGTTGCAAAATACTCTACTCTAATACAAGAAACAAAAGATAAATCAGAACAAATAGCACAGACTGCACAGGACAAAACTAATGAAGTATTAAAGAGCGCACAGGATGAAAAAGATGCATTAGTACAAAATGCACAAAACAAAAAAGAAGAATTATTACAAAATGCACAAGACATGAAGGACAATTTAGTACAGAGTGCGCAGGACACAAAAGATTCTTTCGTTCAAAATACGCAAGACATAACAGATGATGTTCTAAAAAGTGTGCAAAGCAAGAAGGATGAATACGCACTTGCAGCAGAAGAAGTAGTAAAGAGTGCTCATGATAAAAAAGATGAACTATTGCAAGCGGCACATGAGAGAACTGAAGATGCTGTTAAAAGTGTACAAGACAAAAAAGATGAATTATTACAAAATGCACAAAACACAACCCAAGAATTCGTCGAAAATTTAAATAATAAAAAAGAAATAATACAAAATGTCCAAGTTAAAAAGAATGAAACAGTACAAATTGTGCAGGATAAGAAAAAGGAATTAGAAGACTCGTTAAATGACACAAAAGATATTATTAATAAGAATGTACAAGATAAAACACAACAAGCCAAGAAGAAAATTGACGAAACTAAAGCTGGCGTCCAGTTCGCAATCAATGAAAAGAAAGACGAATTGATAAACGCTAAAAATGCAGCACAAGATGAGGCAGAGGACAGATTAAATAGGATAAGACAAGAGGCTGAGCAGACCACTGAAGAGATCAAAAGAGCCGCAGAGGAAACGTTGAATGCTGTTTCAAATAAAAAATCTGAAGTAGAATGTAATGTGTCCAGTAAATTAAATGAAATAAAGGATGGTGGAAAGAGTGAACTAGAAAGGATTCAAAAAGCAGCGAGCGAGAAGGCAAATGAACTGCAAAAGTCAGCGTTAGAAAAGTTTGATCAAGTTCAGGGTTCAGCCTCCAGTTCTTTCGACAAATTCGAAAGTGCCGCGAAGGAAAGAATGGATGTTAGTAGGGATACATACGAGGACTTGCAAAGTTCTGCCAGGGACACATTTGCGGATATAAGAGATGACGTTCTGGGCCTAGAAAGTTCTTCACAGGACACGCTGCGTAGCTTTCAGAGTTCCGCGGGAAATACCTTCGACAGTTTAGACGAATCTGCAAAAGAATTCATCGGTGGTGTTCAAAATACGGCATCTAACGTCGACGACAGTTCGAAAGAGCTTTTCGGTAACGTTAAAGACACGTTCGAAGGTTTCGAAGTAGCGGCTGGTAATAAACTCGAGGATATAAAGGGCTCGACCAAGGACAGGCTAGAGGAAGTCAATGAAAACTTGGACAAGACTAAAGAGAGTGTGAAGAAAAGTGAGGAAGCTGTAGCGGACACTCTAGTGAATGAAACCGACAAATTCACAAGCAGTCTCAACGATTTGGGGAATTCCGTTTTCGGGATATCCGGGAAAGGTTAGTAGTTATATATTCGATTGTTCGCTACGTTCGAAATTTTGGTAATATTCTTCATTTGTTCGCTAATGAAGCCAGATTTCATTGCTAGTGCTGCGATACAATAACATGCCGTAGTATATATCTATACAATTATTTCTAGGATTCATGAAGGATTCCAGCACAAAGCTGCTTGAATCTGAAAAATCGCAATCCTCCCCTCACAAGAAGAGTTCAGGGTAAGTTTCACTACTAACAGCTTGAAAAAGATTTTTATATGATTTTTTATTTCTTCCAAATGTCTATAACACGTCACGCCATGAGCACTGGACTAATATTCGGAAAGTCACTGGAAACTACATACACTTCATCTGATCCACTCTATTTATCTAGCTGTGAAACATTTTAAATTTGAAATATAATTTACTGTACATATTAGTTATATAAAATAATTATATTATCTGTACAACTTTATTTCAAGTCCTGCTTACACTTTGGTTTATGGGATTTTCTTTAATATAAATAATAAAACTATTTATATTGGTTTCGATACCGCAACCTCTATCTAGGAAATAAATAAGTGGTGAACTGGTAAAATGTAAATTTAAGAAAAAATATGAAAATACAAATTTGCTTACTTCAACATAAAATTTATAGTAAAATGTTTGACAGTAATCTTCTGTCGGCTTAGTGTTAATTTGCTAACTCCAATATTCATACACCCAAAACAAGAAAAAATATTTTTGAAGTGAAACTTCTTTAGAATCGTTGTGATTTGAAACTCCATGAAACGAAAATGCGACACTAAAAAGAGACAAACACATAAATATATAGGGTTAAGCCTGCAAGAGAATGAGATAGAATACATTGCCATGTTGCCATGGTAACCGTTGTTATTGTCTGACAAATATATAATATTACATTCTTTCCGTATATGATAGTAATATGCCTTATTTAATTATTTGAGAACGAATAAATTACACCGGAATTGAAAAATAATAAAATTGATTACTGAATAATATGTAACGTATAGTTATGTCAAATGAAGTGTAAAAGAACTTGATAAAAATATTATAAAAAAAATAAACCTTATAATGATCTTATTCCTGATACTCTATATTCATCTCATTCTCTCGTAGATTACTTTTCTGAAGTTTCACTTCTACGATGTGTGAATTGCACTCACAGGCACTTTTTTTATTGTTTTATTTTTCAATAAATTAATTTAAAAAAAAACTATGTATTGAATTGGAGTTACCAAGACATTATAGCCGACTTATAATTCAAACACAACGCCTGCTAACTCACGCACGCCTTACAGAATACCGAAACTCAAAAGGAGAAAATAAGCGAACGAGCGACGACGAACGATGTATGGTACATAGTTTAGCTTAGACATGTAACTATTTATTGTTATTGCACTATTGTTTCACGAGTGCTTGAAAATACGTAATAAAAACGTTTTATCTATTGGTATGGCTATTCTGTTTCTTAGTACATTGTACTAATGTAGCTTCTATGACTTTGAAATAGTAAGTTTTGTAAAAACCAATATTGGTTGAACTATATATACTCGTATCATACGATATCTTGTATTACAAGTGTCACGATATATTTGACGTGTTAAAACAGAATGAACAGATTTTGATGGTGCTCAGTGAAACAATAGTCGTGTATTTGTAGAATTGTGTAAGTTTCTCAGTGGATGTTTATGTGATTTTTGTATACTCCGTTTGGAAAGTTAGAGATTAATTATTCATGTTTACTCGAATTTACAATGGAAGCTGTCGAAATAGTGCTTGGCACTTTTTTGGTACCTTTTTTATTTATACGATAACAAAAATGCATGATCCATTTATTGATTTAATGGTACAAAACTATAATTACTATAAATTAAAGCGAACACGCAGATAACAAACGCTTTCATTGTCAGTACAAACGAGTACAGTCATAGTATGGCAAATATTAACTTTTCGATTTCAAAGAAATCAAGTCTTTAGTGCTAGTTTTAATCATTATATTGCAGATTTATATAATGTGTTTTTTTTTAATTAATTTATACAGATTTATGTAGAAGTTAAATCGTGTCTATATTCTTGCCTGTATCTTGATATAATCGCTTTTGTTTTTATTGAAATCCAACTTTTATATTTTGACATTTTTAATATTATAATAATTATCAATTAATTATATTGACAGTCATTTCGTTGCAATTTTAGAATTTATGTGCCTACGTCAGAGCTTGTGCGCTGGAAAATATTTATATTCTATTCCATTCTCATATAATTATTATATAATAACGTTTATTCTTATTTATTATTATATAATATGGTATATAATCTTTTTTTTTTAATTTATCATATCCGTGGAGTATCTCAATTCAGCGCACTTGTGCGGACGTAGAAAAAAAATGTGACTTTTAATTAAATAATTTGCATTTTTTGTATGTAATATTAAGTATTTATATAATATAGACGCAATATCGATGTTTTGTGTTGCATAATTTATTGTATTTTAAACGTGTTTTCTCTACATAGTTTACACAGCTTTTGTACAGTATTCAATCGGTGTACGCCACCGGTTGTATGGTCTCGACGTTGTCACTTTTATTATTAGATCTGCTAGGATATTTATTTTTTATATACTTAAATATAATTTAAATTTCAAGTTCACGTGCATGTACTCGATACGGTTATTTTAAGTCAGTTTGTCAATGTTTTATATAATATGTATATTTAAGAACAATGCACAATGTAAAATGAATCAAACTGAGTATTCGAAACGAAATAGCGAGAGTAGCGCTTGCTTCGCTTGTGTCTCTCTGTTAGTTGTTAATATATTATACGAAATGTTCATGATCAATGGGCTTTTTATTTCTTTTTTTTTAGTTTAAAGCTTTTTGTAAATGTGTGCTTTTAAGCTGTGACGTGGTTGGACTTTTAAGTTTTTATTGCAGGTTGTAAATTGTTAATTTTTCCATAATTTCTGTCAATATTATATAAATAATAAGTTGCAAAATTGTTTTCTGAAATTTTAGCAACAACAGCTAAGTATTATATTCAATTAAATTTAAACGAATATACCTATAAATACTTACAAAAATTAGAATCCTTTGATAATTGTATAAAAATATCCACACAGCTTTGCAGGGTTAGTTAGTTAAGGAAAGATTTATGAGATCGAACCTTGCACAAAGCAAACCGTCACTGCACGTACACGAGCTTCTGGTAAGTTGTTTTGCGCCATTCATTTTTTGTTTGTTACATTCCCATTTTTACATTAGACGACAATTCAGACTGAATTTCATATCGATTTTCATCCTTCTTTTTATTTTATTGTAAGTGTCGTGTCGTTGTCGTCTGGTATGAAAAATAGCCGCAAAATGTATGTGTCATTTGAATGTTTAAAAAAAACTAAAAGACTAAGATAATCTGGAAGAAAATACACAATGGAATTGGAAAAAAAGATTAAGATTTCAATTAAAATATGCTTATGAAATATTGAAGGTACCTATATCAGACTTTTGCACTAAATAAGATGCACTGGCACAATGCACAATAAGGTATTTCAAATAAAATAAAATAAACTAATTACTTTATGACCATAGAATTGTAAAACAATATTTATGGGAAGGTTTTTAATCTTTGTACAGTCTATAAAAAGGAAAATTCGGTGGTGGCATGCAATAAAGTCTACAATAGATGCTTTTAAAGCTTCTTTTAAATGTTTATTTTAATATAGTTAATATTTTCCAGTTTCTTCTCCAAACTCCGCCGCAATCCGTGAAGATTGAAAACTCTACGTCTTTAACGGATTATATTTCAACGTTCTACTAACATAGAGGAATAGTTTATGAACGGTTCATTTCGGCATTCAAAGTAAGACTTTATGTAATGAAAGCAGTTTTAAGACTTATGGGCTGGTTATGTCAAAATATAAGTGGTTTTTGGAAAAGGAAATTTGTTGATCTATTCTGTATTTGAGAGTCCTTCGTTGTAAATTATTACATTTTAATATATGTTACGATTTTTATACTATATAAGTACATTTGGGTGAATTGTATGACATTTGTACCTCTTAAAAAAAAGACAGGATTTTGTTTTACGTAGAAATAAATTTTATAAAGTTTTTTTTCTGCGTATTACAAATTCCTTCGTGTTTTTTCATTCATAACATGTACAATTTTTATCCAATTGCTATGAAGCTGAAGCATTACTTTTTTCATATATTTTGGCATAACCAATTCCATAATTGCATAGATCGTAGCTAGAGTGAATCACCGAACATTGTAGATTTTTAATTGACTTTATTTTCTTATGTATAACTTGTAAGTTAAGTTTTTATAATTACTACTTGTGGTTCTCTAGTGTGTGGATACCATAACTATCCTTTAAGGTGACTTAGCCTAGCTAAATAACAATATCTATATATTAGGTGTCCAGCTATTATCTATAAATATATGTATAGGTACTTTTTCATATTTATTTGGTAAAATATATTTAAATTTTTAAAAGTCCACAATGTGCGGTACCCCGAATAGTACCTGAGAAATGGAGTATTGGTAATTGCGCTTGTTCCAGTTCAGTTAAGCAAGTTTCAAGTTGAGTCCAAAATTGAATCATTTTCTACACTAATTTTGACTGTTTACATTATAAGTATATATTAAGAGGTGAGTTTTTTCCATAGAAATAGTTTATTAATTAATAATAAAATACTGATTTACCCCACCTTGTGGCGTCGCAAGCCATTTATACTGTTTTTGTGTAATTTATCATTGATAATATTAATGATCATTTTATACAAGTGGTGCTTACATATGGCGTTACGAATGTTGAGTGACAGATGCACTGTCAACATTTCGAGTAAAAATTTAGGTACTAATGAATGTGATTTGAATATCTCACAATTTATAACATTGTAGCACGTAAACTAATTTTCAATATAAACTTCTCTATCACTTTGTACTTGCAAAGTGAATAAGAGCATATTTATGTATATTATCTTTCCGTCGTGGTGCATCAAAGATGCTGTTCATATACTATTTTTACTGTTTTTCATTAAAAAAATCTTTATAGCGGTTAAGTTAGTACATATTTTGTGTCCTGATTTTTTTTTACTAAACGTCTATATGTAATGTTTTAATGTGTATATGTATGTACGTTTATTGTTGATTAAAATTGACTTTTAAAATTATGATTGTGCTAAAATTTTGAAATTAAAATATTTATATGTTTTTTTTGTTTGACATTGGTAACCCGTGCGTATTATAAGAGAAGTATAGTAATTAGAAATTGTAGCGAAGACCTAGTACTTTAAAATGCGTTAGAGTACCAATCAATGGATTGAATTTAATTCTTGCAAACGACCGTTTTTCATTTTTTGACATAGATAGAAGTTAGTGAGGTTACTAACATTATTATATTGTTAAGAACAAATGTTTTTTTTTAATTTAATATTCCTTTAGTTGGAATCTATTTTATTTTTACGTATACAAATTTTATATAACGTTATGAAACTCGTAATTAACACTTCGTTTTAATGACAAGGAAAAGTTGTAAATTTCTAAATCATTGTATCGGTCGTGCGCTTGATTGTGTAAATCCTCCAAAAAGCCCACGAAAAATCTGAATGTACTGTGATGCCAAAGTAAAATGAAGATTATGTATAAAGTTTAACTTTTGTTAATTTATTATTAGAGTCTATTGTCACACTATTTATTGCTTTTAGTAATAAATTTTATTGCAAAAAATACTGTTTTTCTATTATTTATCTCCAATGCTTTAGATTGCATATTAATTAAATGGCACATTATTTAGATGCAACATAAACGTCTCAATTAATCACAGATAACATAATAAATACAACTACAGGTACAGTTTTGTTAATTTTCACACTTCTATAACAAATCCTTACATGTAATGCCATCTATTGGCATTAGTTTGAACTATTTTACCTTTGTTCTTGATGAAATCCTGGAATGTATAAAATGAACAAAATATAAAAAATATATGGTTTTAAAAAAATATCTCATCTTTTTTGTTTTTAGCTATTGACAAGCTTTAATGTTAGCCAAAAAAAGTTGAAAAAGTTTATATAAAGTTTCTATATAGAAAGGTAAATTCTATTTATTATGATTTCTCAAATTTTCAATAATATATGGTCAAATTTCTACCGCAAGACGAACATTCGTATTTATAAAATATATCTATTATAGATAGTATTATGAATAGATAGTATTTATAAATATACTATCTATCATACTATATCTATCTCTATTTTTATACACCTTACAACCACTACAGCCTTCGGACAAAATACACAAAGACGGACGCACATTTAAAATATGCAAACCCAAAGACATTTAATATTTTCTAATGGAACCCTAACACTTAACGACGTATTAGGCGGTTTCATTTCCTGCCTGGTGATTAATTCAGGAAAAAAATCATTCTAACCGCTTCGACATTGAAATTTGGCGGACCAAAGACATCTATTATCAATCAAGCAAACAAAAATAGCCCGATTGAGGTACCGCGCTTGAATTCGCCGCGAGGTGCGCTAGGTCCCTAGAAATATCAAACGACACTAAATGTTTATCGTTCACGAGCTTTTCATCGTGAATTTCACCAATTATTCATAATTATTGTAAAGATTGTGTCATTCTTGATTAATAATGGCAGACACGGTACGGCTCAACAAATGTTATGGCTTTAAAAGAAAAGCTAAGAAAAGTCATCATTTTATCTATTTGGTTAATATATATTAATTATTAGAAACAAAATCCTGATAAACTGGTGCCGCGCTGACAAATATTAATATTATTATATTAAAATGGCCCTCTGCACGAACAAATACTTTTGTAATAACAGCGATAGGACCTCACTCGCCAGTGGCGCCAACTGGTGCCAGAAACGATAGTCCTCATTAGCGCTGTGAGCTGTCTAATTTCTTGGGATTTCTAAGCGATGGTGATCACCTATACTAGTATTATTATCTGTGACAATGCTAATTAAGTCATAAAACGTAAACAGCGCCATCTGTGAATACGTCATGTTTCGACATTTGACAACTATTTTTTTCTTTGTTCCTGATGATCTCATGCACTTAATGAGCCTTAAATGTAATTAATGTTAAAATAATAGGTTCCACTTTAAAAATGTTCTTTATCTATGAAAGTACAAATTCACAGAGATTATTAAAATTTTTATGGTAAAATAAATTATACTTTAAAAAAAGGAAAAGGGGAAGCGAAAAATAAAACAATTTTCAATATGAATGAAATGTAATATAAAATATATTTGCACAATAACATTAATATCAATATAACATCTTCTGTTGGAGTACTTGGTACAAACAGCTCTTTGAAAAAAACAAAAGTTAATATATTAAATTCGATAAAAAAGGTAGTTATTTTAATACTGCTATGATACATATAAAAAAGAAATATCAAGTAAACACAGTGTACAATCAAAAAGTGTTCAAATTTTTAAGTTATCTATTATTTAAATCAACTTTTGGACTTTGTATGGTTATAATTAGTTCAGTGAGATCGAAACCAACGCTTGCTTTAATTTCTCAGATAAGTTTATAAGAAAATTTCAATCATAAGAAACGTCTTTCATATACATGTTCGTTTAGGAAAAAATATTATTGAATAATATTTTTTCCCGCAAATCTCTTTAATATTAGTAATTTCACAATAAAATTAAGTTTTTGAAAGAAATTTCACCATGAAATATAAAAATATAGTTGCAATTTTTTATTCATAAATAAATAGTTTAATTTGACCATTTTTACGCTCATATCAAACATAAAAACATAAGCAGCTGCAATCAAAAGTCGAAAATGATATTGGTAACATTTAAAAAAAATCATTATTATAAAATAACTAGCATTGCCCGCGGCTCCGCCCGCGTTCAGATGACCAAAAACTAAATTCTTAGGTGTTACATATTAGTATACTCTTACATTGCAGTTTTTGTATTTTTCCTCAGAAATAAGATATTTTCCCGCGGTAAAAAGTATCCTAGGATCGCGCGCTACATCGCCCGGTTTATATAGCTTGAGCAGGCGGTCGAGCGATGCGGGGCAGAGGGGATGGACTCGCCGTAGGCATCTCAATGCTCGCCAAGCATTAAAAATGTTTCGCTACTAATTACTTCTAACAACGATATCTCAAAAACTATTCATCTGATTGATTTAGTGTAAAGAGCAATTTTAATCTGCATTAAATGACTAAGCTAACTAAAATATTCATTTGGATAAGGATTAATACCGAACTAAAGAAAATAACTTTGAAAATAACGTAATGTTTTTAATTAAAAATGTTAACATAAAAGTGGTTATTGTAAGTCAACCGTAAGAGATAGAGATATGCTATCGCGGACTTTTTTGTAGCATTTTTATAGATTTTGAATTCTCTAGTACATTACTTAACTGTATCTTTGCTAGTTTACGCGGCGTTCGCGTGGAAAGTTCCCATTTGGCGAGATTTTTTGCGACCTCTTCAACATTTGTCGCCGTATTTCAGCTAATTTACATAAAAGCATAATAAATTATATACCTAAACCTTCCTCAAGAATTACTCTTTCTATTGTTGAAAACCGTATAAAAATCCGTTCAGTAGTTTTCGAGTTTATCGCGTACAGACAGACAGGAGGACAGAAAGACGCGGCCGGGGGACTTATTTTTATAATAAGTATAGATGATTTTAAAAGACAAAACTAATTAACGATTTTTTTGAATGATTACAGTAACTTTATATAGTTTATAGTCACTTATAAAATATATAATAATCAATTAAAACTACAACACAACCTACGCTTTGTAGTGTAACATTTGTAAGTAAACCCTAATAAGTATGTAATTGACCTAGTTTGTGCTGTAGAAGTTACACTTTAGTGTAGTTTAACTACATTAAGTTTATACAAATTATTTTAATATACATACATATGTATATATGAACATTCCTTATTTATAATATTAGAGAAAAATAACAATATTTGTTAAAAATTAAGCTTTGTAATATTGAGATTACTATTAAATGGCATACAATTTGTACGATAAAAATAAAATATATTAATGTTAGCAAAACATGCCATAACTTACTTAATTTTTCATGAAAACGTAAATATTAACACGTCAAACCATATTATATTATATAGTAAATTTAATTTTATTATATTTAATTAAAAAAGTTGCATTAAGAAGGCAATACGGAATTAGTAATACTTTGAAAAATGCAATATAAAAGGTAAAAAACACATTTTTAATAAAACTAATTTTTTTTAATGTATTATGATAAAAGTTCCGATTTTTATTTTGATTTTATGATTCCCAAAGTTTGGGTGTTTTACAACTACCCGAGTCTCTCGCGTATAATGTTGTAGTAACATATGTATTATAAATTATAACTTCTTACAAATAGATAAATATAATATAAGAACATAAGAAAAAAATACTTTTTAAGAATTTGAAAGCACCCGCCTTTGCAAGGATTATTTAAGGCACATACTACGCATATCACAATGTGCTTATTAATCTAATGAATCTTATAATTCCAACTTAAAATAAACAATATATTACTAAATAAAATAAGGCACGATTATAATTAACCTAAGATTAAACATATATAAATAACGATATATTTTGTATTTTTTAACGTCCTACAGCTGGGCACGGGCCTCCCTTCAATACGAAGGGGATCAGGCCATAGTCCACGCCGCTGGCCAAGCTCGTGTTGGTGGACTTCACATGTCTTTCGAAAACTGCCAGGTTCTCTCAGACATGCAGGTTTCCCAGCGAAGTTTCCTTACACCGCAAGACAAGTGGTATGATTACCATGATTAGAATAACACGATTGTTGGAAATGATTCGCACATGAATATATCAGAATTGCCAGACTTCTAACTCGTGTAAAGGCTTTATTCGAAACTTTAAATGCGTCGTCATATAAAAAAAATTTTCGTCTAAAGAAAGACAAAAATGTATAGCTTTTATGAAAAATATATGTACGGAATGTGAAATAATTTAAATTTGTCTCATTCATTGTCATAAAAAATAATATCACTTTATTTTTGTACATAAAAAAAATATTAAAGTTAAATCTTGGTAAATACCATTTTGGTAAAAACTGCATTTGCAATGAACGATAGCTTCTTGGTAATTTATCGGTAAGTTAATTTTATTTTCAAACGTTACATACATTTCCATCTTCAGTCCGAACTAGAATCGAACATGGAACCTTTCGTCTCCTTATCATATTTGATAATGCTATCACTTTTCAAGTAATCCATATCGGTTAGCTCTCGTTGGATCAATAAATACGGCGTTTTCCTTATATGTCTCTCTTTTAGGAAATTTGGTATCATCTGCTTTCCTTCCATCAAATACTGAACTATAATTCTTTCGAAGAATAACGCAACAACAAAATTGAAAGATGCTAATGCGATTATAATGTAACACATTAGAACATCTTTGGGCATTCTGAGTTCTAGAAATTTCGATAGCCATTCCGCCGGTGACACTGTTATATATATAGATATAACTGTCATCACAACCACACTAACCATTAGCTGTTTGTTCGTCACAACCGACCGCCTGTAGGGGGCGCCATGACTGAAAACGACAGCCAAAATGATATATTGGAACATCGAAACAGTATAAATGGCGTAATTCTCCCAACATTCATTCGCTTCGTCTCCTTCATACGTATGTCTAACGTACCACGGAAACATCGTTAGAGCGAGATAGCTTGCGTACTGAGTGACAAATATGAATAGCATCTGTCCTATCAGAGACACGATGGGTACGACCCCCAACAACGACGTCAAAGGCGGCACAGCACACAACTTGCCAGTAAACGCTTCCGTCATGCCGAAAAAGAATGCAAAATTGACGATCAAGGCGATATCTATGTATAGAAACTGGAAGTCTGTGAGATTTGAATCGAAGTAGTATAAAAAGGCTACAGATAAGAATTCAGTGAGGGAGTACGATATCATGAATTTGAATATGCCGAAGCTGGTGGATAGTGCGGCGCGGCCCTCGCGGAGCACCCTCGATACCGAGGAGATGTCGGGCTGCTGCGAGGTGAAGGGCGCCGCCACCGAGCTCTCCAGCTCGGACAGCGACACGCCGGCGTGCGCCGCGCGCAGCGCTCCGCAGTCGTTGGCGCCGTCACCGCACATTCCTGTCGGAATACATTTTTTTTATATAATTATAATATGCTTATTTTTATATATCTAATTATGTATTTTTTTATTACTTGTTTAGTGCAATATATAGTTGATATATTTTAATATTAAATTAATTCCATTTAATGCTCTACTGTACCTACACCGCACCAAATTAACTTATTCTCTCACTTCTGAAGGGTTTCTAGAAGAAATCTCTTAAAGAGATATGTTATCCTTTGTCGATATTCTGTCACTTTATTTTGACCAACATATATTTTATTGTACATAAATAAATTAATAAATAAATATAAAAAATATTATTTATGTAGGATCTGGGGATAAATACAATACCATCTGACCATAGAGGCAGTTCAGTTAACAATAACAACTCACCAACATAGTACCCCATCGCCTGGTACTCCATGACGAGCTGCTGCTTCTGGTCGGGCGACATGCGCGCGAACACCGCGCCGCGCGCCGCCACGCGCGCCACCGCGCCCGGGTGCTGCTCGCGGAGCACCTGCGGACCGACAATATTTATAAAAAATAAAAGTATGAGAAATCTATACTAAACGTTTAGACGTGAGTAGAGACGAAGGTTGTGGAAGGTTAGTCGCTAGTTAAAGTTGTAGTGTAGCTCACGGTATCCACTAATGTAATACACTGCCGTCATAAGAAAGAAGGCCGTTTTTCTTACTACATCAAAATTACTACTAGTTTTAACGTAGTTACGATGAAAATTGTTATAATATGAGTATAAGATATTAGATACAGCCAAGCAAAATATTAATTAAATACAACTTTGAATTATAAAAACATTGAATCTGTACAGATAAATAAAATTGAAATGTCTATTTGTAATGTCAAAATAACAGCGTTTTACTAAACGCATATGAAATTATATATGATAATTTTAAAAAAAACACTTATTTAAATTTTTGTCTGTCTGTCTGTTTGTTCCGGATAATCTCGGAAACGACTGCATTGATTTTGACGAGGCTTTCACTGGATGATAGCTGATGTTATAGGGAGTGACATAGGCTACTTTTATTTTAGAAAAAAAATTAGGGTTCTGCTCAAAAAAATTAAAACGTACCTAGGGACGAACCCGAGCGAAGCGAGGGTGAGTCGCTAGTATACAATATTACTGAGAACCTCCTTTTTTGAAGTCGGTTAAAAATTATTTAAGATACACAATTCAACTGACCTTCCAGGTGTCCCCGGTCATGACAATCTTGTACTTGGCCTCCCCCGCGGGCGCCTCCTCGTCCCGCCCCCGCTCCCGGGACGCGGAGCGCCAGGAGCCGCGCCCGCTGTCGATGCTGCGCCACTCGCGCTCGAAGCTCACGCGACCGCCCACTACTATCTGGATGTCAAAATATACATTTAATTAGGCAGTAGGTACGTTTTATTAATTTTACATCAAAATATGTAACTTATACTAAGTACCAGTAGCGACATCTAGTATAAGATATGTAAACTGCATGTATATAGTATGTAATATATCTTTTATAATAAACGTTTGTCAGTCTATCATTAGACCGCAAGTTAGGTTGTTTTAATTAATAGGTTATAGGCCCAGCACGATTCCACAGTCTTAACGGCTAATATGGAATAGATAGACTATATATTATATTTGTATAGATATGATGATCAGTTGTATTATAACGTTGTTTCCCGTGGGGATGAGATAATCTTCCGAGGTAAAAAGTAGCCTATGTCACTTTCCAGCCCTCCAATTATCAACGCACAAAAAAATCACGCCAATCCGTCACTCTGTTTCAACGTGAAAGAAGGACACACAAACAAACACACTTTGACAATTTATAAATATTATTATTTAAAAAAAGTATGGATTAAAGTATGGAGTTCACTTTAAAGGTTAAAAAGATCCAGTCATTTCTCAAAACATACATAATCTTCTTCTCCCTGCCCATTTCCCAATCACTTGGGGTCGGCGCAGTACATCTTCTGTACTGCTGTTAGGATTTGGCAAAAGTTTTACGACCGGCCGCCTGCCTGACATCAACCCTCCTTGGGAATACATAATATACTGAGGTAATATTTTAAAAGGGACAGATAATACTTACACAAAAATATAAATTTGCATAAAGTCCGTAGTAAAAACTATATTAGTAATTAGAACTCTGAATACTGGAAGTGATTTTAAGCATTTTTATTCCTATAATAATTCAGTCAGTTTAACGACCCACTGGTGGGCACCGGACTCCTTTAATGTGAAAATGGCTAAGTACAAGTTTGAAAATTTCACACATCTTTCAAAAACTACTTAGATTTCTTCAGAGAGAGAGAGTGAAATTCATTCACCATGTGTTCCTTCCGCATATGAAATGGAGATACTGAACTTGGATTTGAGCCCTCTACTGTTACTACAGCTCCATAACCCAATCTAAAAGATTTGATGAATGAATTAAAAAAAGAACGTGTGTGTACTTATGTACGCACGTATACGTTATACTTTTTCGGCGTAACAGAACAAAAATAGCTAAAGATTTCATCCCGTATGTCACAAATCTCTGTTTGTAAAAGGAATGCAGCTAACTTCATCATGTCGCTTTTTGGCTACCGGTGTGCGCACGCATCTTAAAAATTTTACTCTCATATTTTTTCCCAAACGTGCCTAAAGAAATATAACTTCAAAAAGAAAACACCAGATAAAATGGAACCCTTAATTTACAACTTAATATTAACCCAAAAACCTTATACAATCTAGTTTACCCCTTACCCCATGCATAGAGCTCTCGCAGTAAAGCTGTGGGGTGCCTGCAGTGGAGTCGACCCCCATCAGCACCACCCTCTCCCCGCCCGCCAGGATGCCGCACTCCCGCGCCACACTCACTGCCGTGTGGATATTGTCCCCTGAATACCATAATGGGTTTAGACACATCACACAATACTAATAATAAGTCCTCCTGACCATTTTTCGGTCACGGCGGCCAATCTCATTGAGAGTAGCCAACTGCGCAGGAGATATTATAGTGTGATTTGTCTTTTTTTGTTGTTTAGATTTTTAGGGCAAAACATTTGGAAAAATTTGCTCAGGAAATCGGAAATTCGGATATAACAAAAAATGCTTTTTTTGCATAAAACATTCGTAGATACTCAAAGATCATAAGCAAATTATTAAAATTTGGACAGGATACCATTTGTCTGTTCAAGTAATATATTATAAAATACGTTTATAGTAATCACCTGTAATCATGACGACGTGAATATTCGCCTCTTTAAGTTCCCTAATAATGCCCGTAGTCGCTGCCTTCAATTTATTCTCCATTATAACCAAACCCAAGAATTCTAGATCGCATTCCACCTGAAAATAAAATAATTTAACATTAGAATACTAATATATGATATGAACTATATAAATAAAAATGTATGTTTGTTCTCTTTGCGTTTCTTAACATTGATCCGATTCTGATAAAACTCTGGTCGGTTATTCTGTATGAAAGTTCCTGGCGTAGAAAAAACTTTTTCCTGTGCACGTTTTTCTTTTATACGTTCCTGAATAATTCAAGCTTAGGGACGAGCACATAGTCTGCCTATTGATTTGGATGAAAATGTGTAATGGGATTGGAAGTCGTTTTTAAAAAGGCTTCTAATTATTAATTTAAAAAAAATTGTAAATACAGAAAATTCGAAGCTACGAATCCGATAAGATTGTGGAGCCAGAGAATAAATAATAAAACTTTTTTAAACCACTTATCAATAATTATTTATTAAATATAACACCTCTTCTCTGTCCATTTTCTGTAGCTGTTTGAATGTTGCTTCCATTATTCGGGTCGACATCGCTATAACTCGGTATCCCTTTTCTGCATACGAACTTAATATTTCGTTTAAATTTGCCGGTACTAGAAACATAAAAAATTATGATCAAGATATATAATAAATATATATCATTTAGTTTTTACAAATACAGGTTATATTTAGTTACAAAAAAATCATAATCACAAGATAATAATATATTAGATCAATATACAATATCTTAGATCAATTAAAAAAAAATATTATTTGACAAAATAATATTAATATTACTTAATACCGTATTTAAATATTATTAACAGAATTTTTAATCTCACCTGTATGAGGTTTGCATAACGTCCGTAGAGTCTCGGGCGCACCCTTACAGTACACACGTACGACGTCTTCTCCCAGTAATCGAACCGCCACCGATGCTCTTTGCAAATTCGACACGAACTGGTATTGCTGGACTATACCTACTTCTAAGGGCACCTTAAAATAGAAGAAATTTCATAAAAGAAAATAACTACAGCTCAGGTACTTAATTTAGGCCTAATCTGTATAATGGCGTCACCGTCAATTACTATCAATTGATTTTGATTTTTTCTTTATTCTCACCCAACATCTGATTCATAAAACTTTGTAATATTAGCGACAAACATCGCTTCGATACATCTCTAAATTCTTTTGTACTAGATGGTCTCTTTAATCCTTACTTTTTGGCAAATTTCATTGAAATAAAATAAAATAAACTGTATACAATTAGACTTATTACAAGCACTTTTGAATCGTCAATCCGTGAGGAAGCCACCACTGTATCGGAAAGGAGTTCCGCTGAGAAGAGCGGGCGAGAAACTCAGCAGTTGCTCTTTTAAACATCGATTGCTCTTTTAAATATCGATTACAAACAGTAGCCATGTGTTACTCCAAATCTTATTCTATTCGTTTATCAAATTTAAACCCAAATCCGTCCTGCTATTTCATCGTGAAGGAATAACAAACATACACATAAAAACTCTCGCTTATACAATAATAGCTTACGACTCACCCTCGCTTCGCTCAGGTTCGTCTCTAGTTACGTTTTGACGGTTCATATGGAATAGAAAACTTTGAATTTCTCGGCTTTTGTGTACTATAATGTGCTTGTTTTATACACATAAATCTTCCTCTTGAACCACTATCTATTGCTGAAAACTGCATTAAAATCCGTTGATTAGTTTAAAAGATCTAAGCAAACACACAGCGTAAGCGACTTAATTTTATACTATGTAAAGATTAGTCCGTTATTTCTTACATGTAAATCATCAACGTTAATATTAGCGGCGCCACGCGGCTTCACCACCGTGGGGGTGAGGAGCTCGTAGTTTTCACTTTCTGGTACTTCTGGCTCTTCCAACCGCCAACCGGTTGATTCAAACATCTGTGAATAAAAAATAAACATTCATAAATGTAAGTAGTATTTATTGGCATTTTATAGTAACGTATAGTATACACTGTACAATGAATAGATAGCAATAAAAATTAAAGTAATAATCAAAACTTTCTACTTAACGACATTCATAGTGGTGGAAACATTATTACTATAGTTCAATCGCGTTAAGAAAATAGTGAGTCATCAAGTGCAACGGTAGAACGCAGGTAAAGGTACTAAGTGGGAGTAAAAATTTAATTCAAATTCAATATTTATTTTAATTAGACTGCTAGCATAGCATTTATTACACACCATCAAAAATAAAGTAAATTCTTAGGGCTTTAAATTTGGTGACCATTTGCCACATTTTCTTAGAAATGCCTCCCAACTTGTTTGGACATTTTTCATGGTGTGTAATAAATGCTATGCTAGCAGTCTTATAAATCATCTAATTACTACCCAAGTATTATATATAAAAATCAAATTTTATACTACAACGTAAGTAGAATTATGATTTCATGAAAAGGGTGTCTAGCAAGGGTTTGCCACGATGTTAAGTGTCTGGCATTGAATGACGTGATTTTTAATAATATTCTGAAGGTAATACCAAAAAATCACACTTTATTATTTGACGAATTTAGATCGGTATTTTACACACCTTTAGTACTGTGTACCTGCCAAAGCCACCATAGCCTGAACTTCATAATGGTCCATCGTTCTTATCTGTATTGGGAGCATGCGCTGACAAACTTTCAGCTTTTATAAAATGACGAAGGTCTGGCGTTCACGGGCTCTTAGGCCATATATTTAAGTCTGCCTTCAACTGGTCATTGTGAAATATGACTTTATAATTTTTTAAAGGCTAATCTCAGTGCCGTCTCCGCCGTGACCGAAATCGATCAGGAGGACATTATTATCATTACTATGGGAGGTATCTATATATTACCTTCAAATCCAAGGGATCCCCCGCCAGCTCCCCGTCGAGTAGAGTGAGGCTGTGACAGCAGGCCATGCCGATCTTGAGCTCGTGCAGGTCGTTCATGCGCTTGGGGTCGCGCTGCGGGCGCGCCAGCAGCGGCGGGCTGGAGGCCGCGCTCACCGGCACCACGCCCCACATGTCCATACCGTCCTCGGTCAGGGTGCCTGTCTGTGTTTAATTGTATGATAGAAATGGAGTTGTGAATCGAGTTTTATTATAAACTTACAAAAATTGAGTTTGAGAAATAATCTTGTGAATTTGTTTTTAATTTTTTGAAGTGAATCTTCTTTACGCACGCTTGACTTGGGGAGTAAGCTGGTGAATGGGAGACGAGAGCGTAGCCGTGGTAACCGTTGTTATTGTCTGGTAAATGATATATTATAATATTATATTCATTCCTTAAATTATACTCTATAAATATACGATTGTAATATGCCTAATATGCGTTATTTAATTATTTTTATTAAAATTTATTATTCCTTTTACAAACAGAGTTGTGACATACGGGATGAAATATTTAGCTACTTTTGTTCTGTGACGCCAAACAAGTATAACTACTTACGTGCGTACATAAGTACACGTTTTTATATTTATATTTTGATGTTTTAATGTCATCGCGGTATCTGTCGCAGTGTTAAAGAAGTTTTACTTCTTATGTTTAGTTTAAAAAATATTTTATTAGAAAAAAACAAACGACTCACCTTATCGAAGCATATACAATCCAAGGAGCCGCTGACGTTGACTGCGCGCGTGTTGAGGCAGGTGACGCGCGCGCGCCGCAGCCGCGCCACCGCGTACAGCCGCCCCACCGTCATGGCGGCCGGCAGCGCGGGGGGCACCACTATTGTTATTATATCCAACGCCTTTATCACTATTTCTCTGGCTGTCATCGCTCTGTATGCCTGAAAGATAATGCCATAAATATTATAAGCTTGCCACTCACCCTTCCTTCGATCGGGTTCGTCCTTAGGTACCTTTTAACGGTTAGTATGAATTTTTTCTGTACTATAATATGCATGTATTATATATATAAACCTTCCTTTGAATCACTCTATCTATTAAAAAATCGCACCAAAATCCGTTGCGTAGTTTTAAAGATCTAAGCATACATAGGAACAGACAGACAGCGGGAAGCAATTTTGTTTTATACTATGTAGTGATACGAAAAGGATGGATGAAAGGCACAGAGATAGATTATAGTATGGAACATATGTTGCTTTTTATTCGAGAAAAATAAATAAATATAAATATGTTAGGACATTAACACACAGCACCATATAGTTACATGGTAAGCTACAAGGCTTGTTATGTTTTGGATACCAGATAGTTCATACACTACACATATATAGCTTTAAATACATACATATTATAAGTATAAACACCAATGACTGGAGTACAAACATCCGTGCTCATCACACAAATGAATGCCGCCAGCGGGACTCGAACCCGCGACTGCTGGCACAGCAAGTAGGGTCACTACAAGCAGAGCCAAACGTGTCGTACAGTTCATTTAAATCCGTCTAGTAGTTCAGAGAAAAATATACATGTACAAACTTCACATTTATAATAATAGTACCTATTTCCATACAAGTTGTGTAATTAATTAGAATTTTTTCTATATAGTATAGGAAAAAATATATATTTCCAACAAGGAAACAAAGTTTTTTACTTTATATCATTGCTTGAAATGAAATTGGCAAAATATATACAATACATATAATAAAACAGTAACTTAACGAAATCTGTACATTAAATATTATTTAAAAACAATGACGGTGATATATTAGATACACAATATAGACCCTAAAACAACAGCTATTAAAATATGTATTTGTCTTTTTGTGTGTGCGTATTTCACGCAAAAAGTATTAGCCAGATTTTAATAAAATTTTGTGTAGTGTTAACTTATTACTCGGATCAACATTTAGGACGCCTTTTACAATGGAAAAATCTTTCAATCCTACGGAAAAACACAATTTCAAATAAAATAAATATAATAAAATACATAAATCTAAACAGTATAAATGATTGAAAGTATTTAATTAAATAGATAACAAACAAAGACAAATCTATAACACGGGAACCATACATTTTTCCGGGATAAAAAGTAGCCTATTTGTTATTCTGATCATGAACTATATTATTGTTTAAATCCAATCAGTAGTTTTTGTGTACTAAGCTGTATAAGTCACTATAGCTTTTTAACTATCCCACGCGATTTCTTCGGGAATTTTCCGGGATCAAAAGTATCTAAAATGTTCACAGGGGATATAAGGTACCACCATGCAAAATATCATTTAAGTCGGTCCCAACAGTTTCGGATTTTAGCCCGTACAAACAGACAAAGAGACAGAGAAACAAAAAAATTGAAAAAAAGCTGGATTTGTTCTATTTCTCATTTAACACCCCTCTGACTCGGTTTTTAGATTTTTTTTCCATGTACAGACATTCGACCTCTACAGTTTTATTATATGTATATATTATTAATTTCACAATACAAACCTTTAACGCCACAGTGTATCCAAGCCCTAAAATAGCAATGCAGGCCAAAATAAATATAAACTTGTAGGAATCTCTGTCGAACTTGAAGTCCGCTGGCACTGGATATAAAATGCTCCTCACTAACTCCCCCTTGCTGGTGTTGTAGCCTGTACGGAGAACTAGAGCTCTGAAATTATTATTCAGAAAGTAGGAATGTATGATGTCCGACTCGATATTCTCGACTTCTAAAATATCTTATTAGGTATCTATTCTAAATGAAAACCCCCGTTCAGTTATTTTTTACATTTTAGTGCATGGAAGTCAGTTTTTTTTAGTTTTTATTTTTCCATTATTAGTGTAGACGTAATAAACAGATAATTTGTAAGAAAAAAGTTTTTTAATAACATATTCGATTAAGCAATTTATTTAAAAAAATATATTTATTGTTATTTATTATATTTTTTGAAAACCGCTCGACCGATTTCGATTAAAATTAAATGAGATCACCTGAGTGAGCCCTTCGAATGATACCCTTCGAAACAAAAAAATATCGAAATCGGTTCAGGCGTCTTCGAGTAATCGGTGAACATACATAAAAAAACATTTTGACGAATTGAGAATTTCCTCCTTTTTGGAAGTCGGGTCAAAAGGCATACATGCTTTCAATATTATAAGAGATGCGTTATTTACCCTCTCTGCTTATTGCATAATCAAAGACAATCATATTTAAGGAGTAAACTTCAGTTGTGCGTCGGAGCTGACACACACACACACACATTTTTTTTAATTGAATGGATTTTGATATACGAGTATATTTGTAAATAACTTACTTAACAGGCTCGTTGTTATAATAGCGAGTTTGTATAACTTTGGTGCCACAAAACAATACACTAGAGCTGTGTTCCTTTAAGTGAAACTCTTTGTCAATCCTTTGCATGGCTGTCTTGGTTACTGGTACAGATTCACCTAGTAATAAAAAAAAGTATTAAGAAAATTAAATATATGCTAAATATTTTGAAGAAAAATATTATTTATTATATATAAAGTTATAATTAATTATAAATGCCAATGAAAAAAATTTTTTTTTTAATTTTACGTTATATGTAACTAGTGGACCCGTTAGACAAACGTTGTTCTACCACATGCCACTTTCTGTCGGATAATTAAAAAATATCTTTTTCTCGAAAACTTACTATATTATACTAAAGATAAGAAATTATACAGATGACCCAAATCAACCAAGCTGTTTAGGAAATTAGTAACAATAACACGCACATCGGCATTTTATATATAAACAATTCTAATTTACAATAAGTATATTTTTAAATAGCTGTAAAATCAATTTCAACCAATACAACTTTACGGTACCAGGAGAACATAAACATAGAGGAGAGCAGACCTGTAAGCATACTCTCGTTGACAATGGCAGAGCCGGTGAGCAACGCCGCGTCGCACAGCATAGTGCAGCCGTGGGGAGGAAGTATCAGAACATCCCCCGGACAAAGGGCCCTACTATCCACTCTCCTCCCACCCCATAGTTCCACTGTGTCGTGGGCTTCCACCGTCGCACGAAGACTTTCCTGGTTCTAAAATTAATTATCCATACTAACATTATAAATGTGAAAGTGTATGTGTTTGTTCGTATGTCCTTCTTTAATGTCGAAACGGAGTGACAGGTTGACGCGATTTTTTGAGTGGATATTGTTGTAGGACTGTAGAGTGACATATACTCTTCAATACAATGAAATAGATATATGTTTTAGCATTTTTCGAAATTCATCCCTTAAGGGATTTGTATGAAACCTACTTTTTTAGTGTTTTTCTGTAGTTTTAGCGCAAGCGAAGCCACGGGTTCTGCTAGTTATTATATATAAGTTATTGCTGATACCTAAATTTTATAGATAACTAGGTCGAAATTGAGAAAAAAACATATCTCTAAAGGAAATTGAATTGTCTTTGTCCGACGTTTCGAAAGCTTTATAGCGGACACGGTCACGTGTGAGATTTTATATAAAATAACACAAATTATTTAATTAAGTAAATTTAAATATATCAGTGGTAGATGTATATAATAATCAATCAATAAAAATTCGTATTTATCTAGTTTTTTTTTATAGATAACTGCCACTTGATATTTTATGTAACTTTTTTTACTTAAATAATTTATTTAAATTATTTCTCTGGAAATACTAACCTTTTTCGTTTGTATAACAGATGTGGCAACACCAAACGTTGACATGAGAATAATGGCAATACAGTAATAATAGTACGGCTCGGCCAACCATACTGCTATTGTAAATATTTGGAACACGTAAAACGGATTGAAAACCTCTAAGAGAATTAGTGTCATAATACTTTGTACTGGAACTTTGATTTCGTTGAGTCCGTATATATTTAACCTGAAAAATAAATTGTTTTAGTATTTAATTTATCTATATTGAAAATATCCACGTCTATAGATAGATTCGTTTTTGTTTTTCTAGAGGCGAACCCAAGCGGAGCGAGGGTAAGCCGCTAGTCTATAATAAACTAACACTTAACACCGAACTACTGTTATGTTTGCGAAAGTGTGTATATTTGTTACGCCTTCACGCTGAAACGACTGGACCGATTTGGATTAAAATAGTACTCCTCGACAGGTCATATTTTATAAACGATCTGGACGAAATTTTTCATACGGGTTTTACGATTTTATAGATTTTTTTTGTCGTCGGGGATTTTTGATTGGAGGGAACTTCCTCAAAAAGGAGCAAACAGTGTGCTACTGGATATCCCCGCCTTATAAGATCCGATTTCGATGGTCCTTTTTATTTGAACAGTAGTAACTTTAAGTATAAAAATTTGGTGAAGATCAGATGAGGAACTTCGGCGTGATGAACAGAATTGCTGCTCAAAATGGAATTTTGCTCACGAGATCCACTGTTCGCAGAACTACTACTTTATAATACAAGTGAGTATCTCCATACTTACATTCTCAATCGTCTTTCGGAACACGGTGGTCTCGCTGCGACGGCGTGTAACTGGACACAAGAGGCCCCACGCTCTATACCCGCTAGGCGTATCCACTGCGCCCTCGTACTGTCCCATATTAAATACTGTTTTTTGTGTCGGAAGTATCGATATTGTTGGATATCTGATTAAATAAAATGGGTTTAATCAATTCACTATTAATTAATTATCTCCTATTCTTATAAAACAATTGTATTTTAAGGTTCAGAGCTGTATAATGATTACTTTAGGTTGCAGAAGATAAATTAACAATCTACCACATAAGAACGACAGATAGTATTTTTCGCTTTTCGTATTAGTAGTTATGTAAATAAGAGTGTGTTTTTTCGATTTCTTTATATCTCCGAACGCATATCAGATATTGGACATTGATTGCTTTCTGACTGGCTATTACAAAATTGGATACCGTATCTTTTTCTCTTTTTGCCTTATTGATGAACGATTATTGACATCTCTAGTACAATAAGGATATACTTTTTGGAAGATGAACAAAATATATTTGCAAAGGCAATGGATTGTGTCTTAAACAATCAGCTTTTTATTGTATACTATTATTTCAGTATTGTAAACTGACAAGTAATAAAATAAATTATAACATCTAAACTTCTTTTGTACTTCTCAGGTAACCTGATAAGCTTGTATGGTAGGCAACAGTTTTGTACATAGATTAGAATTGATAACTTAATCAATGACATAGGTTTAATGTGATCATCGATCAAAAAAGTACTAGATATACAATTCCATGCAAAAGTTTTCTTAAAACTGCCACCAATTGTGTTTAGGTATCTATTCTAGTTGAATAACAACAATGCAAATTGAACCTTAAATGCAATTCTTAAAGTTGATTTCACAAAAAAAAATTAAAAGCGCGCTCAAATGTGCGCTCATTCGGTGAGGACTGTTTTTGTCGCTGATTGTGTATCTAGTACTTATCTCGATGGATGTGATACGTGAACAAGTACTTCCACGAACAGTGCACTCTCTATTCCTTTTATTCTCAAGGTCCGGTGGAAAGATAATTCAAACGACTGGTATGGAGACAAGGACAGGACAACAGACTTTACGTGCTCATTAAATCGTATCAAATTCTGAAAACCGGGCTGTTACAGAGGACTGGTCGACAGAAATATTTGTAATAGCCCTCCCAATACCAATATTTGGCCCGACCTAGGAAGAGAAAGTAGGACCCTCAGGCCAGCAGCCGTCTAGTCACTAGACCAAAAAAGCATTAAGTGAATAGGAAAATAGGTAACTGTTAAGTATAGACGATTTCTTATTATTTCACTTATGATTATTTACTTAATCTATTTATTAGCTCTATTATAATTAAATTATCATAATATCTTTGTTTTTTGAAAGAAGTACACTGTTGCAATAATTGAAATTGTTTACAGAAACAATTATGTATAAAAAAAATATGTTATGTAAGTGACATAATTTATATAATAACATTATTATTATATATATACCAATAACCTACAAGGTTTATCAAAGAGCTTAGTGATGCGTTAGTTTGACCTTATCAAAGAGGATGTTGCAGAATACAAAGTAGCAAACAAAAGCATAATTACTTCTTTTATAAAATATTATTTCCAGTTAGCTTTAAACATATTATCATACAATATTTGTAAGCAAATTGTTTGTGTAAAAGATTTTGATTTTATAAAGTACTTAACGATTAATATGGATCTCTACACAAAAATTCAACTCAATACGTCACTCTGTTTTGACTTGAAAAGTACAAACAAACAACCAAACAAACACACTTTCACATTTATAATATTATTAGTATGCATTTATACATAATGTATACATACATATACAAACATATAGAGGTAATCGTCTAATTATACGGCACATTATACAACTTATTTTCTTTTATATTTTCAAAGTAAGTATTCAAATTAGATATGCAAGTCATGATACTTGTTCAATATGTATAAAAAAGTTTACGATATTTTTTTATACTTCATATAACACATAAGATTAAAATATAATGAAATAAAAAAAAACTAATTTAATTATTTTTTATACCTATTCTAGTAAAGTAATCCTATTTAGATAAACACTAACCAAATGATCTACTAACGATAACTGATAAGAGGGGAGTACTAACTTGTCTAATATTGTAAATAAGCGAGCTCATATTTAAACCGACTTCAAAAAAAAGGAGGTTATCAATTCAACACGTAATATTATTGGAACTGCATAATATTCGATTATCCATTTGGGTTCCCAAAGAAATATACAAAATTTTATAGATGTATGTATGTTTTTTTTAAGTATGTATGTACGTAATTTTGTCCACGAATTTCTCCGAACCGGAATCAGGTCGTGATCACTCTTTTTTTATTTGCTTACATTTAATTCAACTTAGGGAATAGCAAAGATTTTATCAAAATCGGTTCATCATCATCATCATAGATATAGACTAAGACGTGTAACTAAAACTGAAATAGTTTTTGTAATTACTGCTGGTTGGCGCCGACTTCGAAAATATTTGATTAGGTACCTATCTATAGTAAATGAAAACCCCCGTTCAGCTATTTTTACTTTTTAGTTTTGTTTTTAACGACTTTAAACATTTTTTTTAATTGGTTTTTAATTTCGAGAATATACTTTCAAATAACTTACTTAGCCTAGTGCCATCGTCTAAATGTAAAGGAGTATACAGATCGTCCGCGCTGTCTAAAGGACCCTTTTCGCCTCCAAACTCATCTTCAAAACCTTCATTCAGTAAACCACTGGAAAAAAAATATGAGAAAATAATTACAGTAATATTAATATATTTTTTTATTATTATTTAACATATTATTTAATCTTTTACCTGGCATCTGCTATGTTTTTATCAACTATTTTGTGAATGAAGTAACTTTTGCATTTCCTTTGATATATTTCCTAAAAGAAAAAGAGTATGTAACGTGTATATGTGTTAATACAAAAAGGTTATATAATGAAAAAACCACATTGAAATTATTAAATAAAACTATCTTTTCGGATTATTTCGCGGATTTATTTTGATTTTTGGTTCCCGACGTTTCGAATGCTTTACAGCATCCATGGTCACGGGAGAGACTGAGGTGTTACATGTCTTAAAGATATAGTTGTTACAGACAGCCTACCCACAATTAACAAAATGAAAATTGCACCAATTACATTACAATATTTTTAACTTTAAACATTTTTTATAACTTTAATTATAATTGAATATGGAAAATTATTTATTTAATTTTTGCTATTATTTTTATAATTATTACAATTTTAAAAATATTAATTAGTAATCTATATTTAGTGTTGCCATTATTATATTTATAACTATAAATAAAAATATAAAAATATAGTATTAATTATTAAAGCCATATAATTGTTCTATGTGTAATTTAAAAAGTTAAAATTAATTACGGATAATCATTTTAATTTAGTTTGCTATTATTTAAAAACAACTTACTAAGCAACACTATTAATATATACTTTTACAAATTATTTATTTTTCATTTGTAAAAGTATATATTAATAGTGTTGCTTAGTAAGTTGTTTTTAAATAATAGCAAACTAAATTAAAATGATTATCCGTAATTAATTTTAACTTTTTAAATTACACATAGAACAATTATATGGCTTTAATAATTAATACTATATTTTTATATTTTTATTTATAGTTATAAATATAATAATGGCAACACTAAATATAGATTACTAATTAATATTTTTAAAATTGTAATAATTATAAAAATAATAGCAAAAATTAAATAAATAATTTTCCATATTCAATTATAATTAAAGTTATAAAAAATGTTTAAAGTTAAAAATATTGTAATGTAATTGGTGCAATTTTCATTTTGTTAATTGTGGGTAGGCTGTCTGTAACAACTATATCTTTAAGACATGTAACACCTCAGTCTCTCCCGTGACCATGGATGCTGTAAAGCATTCGAAACGTCGGGAACCAAAAATCAAAATAAATCCGCGAAATAATCCGAAAAGATAGTTTTATTTAATAATGTCAAACATTCGCGTAAATCTAAGAAAGTATTATAACCACATTGAAAGTTTAAAGTAAATAAATTTTAATTTTAGTTTTACTAATGAGTCATATAAAAGTCAATTTAAGACTTAATTTAAAAATACTAAATATATCTCTGAGAATAGTATGACTCCGGTCTGAGACTCAGAGGTCTGGTTTTCTTGATGTTGAAAATATATGAATTAAGATAAATTGAATCGTGCGAGCTATAAAAATGAACTCGATATTGGACCGTGAATGGACTGTGATCAACACTATAGTGTGTTCGACCCTTAAGGCCCGATTACAAACCGTTCTCGAGTTAGAAAGAATGAGTGCATTCACACCGTCATTTAAGAGTCAAATTCCGGTCGAATCACACTCTAGCAACATATTTTCTTGTATCAAAATACATTACCAGACCGATAACAGACCGAGAACGGACCGTGATCGGTACTATAGTGTCTATCGGTTGGGTCCTAAAAGGACAACAGTTCAGTTTTTTTTTACTCTTCTCATCCAACATGCATTTCAAGCCCGTGCTTAGCTTCCTCAAGTACTAACAATACTGACTCTTTTAAAATGAAATTGACAATTCAAAACTGCTTGTTTCTAATTGTAAGTTATTTTCCATTTCTTGTTATGAAATTAAAAATAACCTAGATATTATTTTGGGACCTTTGTATACCATGTATTTACTTATATATAGATAGAAAGCAAATTAAAAAAAGAAATAAAAGCACTCACTTCAACTAACACCTGATCTGCTATTTGAAAACAACATCTAACAGATGTGGCATAAAGGAGCCATGTGGGATACCAGTGAAATACTAAGAAAGGTATACCACAGGTCAAAATGGAGAAAATGTACACAAGTATAGTACGCCATCTACATTTACGGTAACCGTAAACTACCTGTAAAAGAAATTTTATTATTAACAATTACCTACTTTTTTTATTTGTTCAATATATGTATAATCAGGCATGTATTTTTTATTTCTACAAAGTGCATGCTGTTCAGTCCACAACTAATGTACTTGAAAACGATTTTTATAGGACCTCCAAGGTTGCAAGCTCAAAATCTGACTAGCCTTAAAAAGAAAAGAAGAAATACTTAGCTGTAATCTTTCCACCAATAAAGATAATATAGATTCAGTTATAAAAATAGAGTACCTGGGCGACCGAGCTTTGCTCGGAGTTTTTGGCCAAAAAAATGACATTAAAAAAAAACAAAATTAAAAACTTTGTGCCCGACCGGGGTACGAACTCAAATACCTGTGGTTGTCAAACTTGCGCATTGGCCGCTTGACCATGATGCTTATATCTGAGTGTGCGAAATTATCGAACATAATATTTTGCGTGGAATTATTAATTATTAATTTATTGAAATAATGCAAAAGAAATCATAATAATAATAAAGCTCTATTTATTTATTCATTTATTTCTTATAAAGGCTTACTAACTAAATTTACATAAAAACATTTATTTAACATTATAATTTTACCTATCTGTATATAAATTTAATTTAAAAGTATGCACAGCTTTTTATAAAAGTATTCCATTAAAATTTTATTTGGTTATGAGTATATAAGGATCCATTTTAGTTGTACAATAAAAAAAATGTCTTTATCACATTGCTGAAATTTAAAATTATATAATTTAATGACTATTTATTAACTTATAATTTTTTTACTAATAATTTTGTAATCTGGAATTAAATTATTTTAAAAATCTTCATATTATTTGAAATGATATTGTATATATATAAATTATCATTAACAAATAAATAAATAAAAAATCACAATAAATTAAATAATTCAATTGAGTAAATACTAAACATTTCACAATAATAAATATAAATAAAATTTCTTTCCATAGATTAATTCTGACAATAGTTATAAATTAGGTATTTCATTTCATAATTAAATGTATTTATTTAGTAAATGTCTTTTTCATGTATAGACAGACCCCTCTCGGTTAAAAGCCTCCTCCAAAGTAGTCCTGCATAGAGCTCTCCGTTGGAGATTATGCTTGTATGATTGCAAAGGGTTTCTCTCTCTCAAATTTTGTTTTCAATATATAATTTGTTTCTGATATGCCTATAAATTTTATAATTTTATCTTTGTGTTCTTTTGATTTGTTGTAGGAAATGCTGCTTTTAATTCTAGAAGTTTTTCTGGTGAAGATATGTATACCTTTGTTCATTGTATGTCTGTTTTTCTTTAGAGGGTTACGGTCGAACTCCCCCACAGTGACCGGCCGTACTGGTGGATAAAGATGAGGAGGTTCCTACGGTGTTTAATATACTATATCTTGCTGTGTTGTTTTTTGTTGTTCCTGGTTATCATTTGTGTGGTTGAAAGTTAATTTTGGGTTTTGTAATATAAAGTCTTTAATATTACCAGGTATGGTTTTCTTTGTATGCTGTTTATTTGTTAGTTTTTGTTTATAATTGAGGTAAGGCGTTTCTGGAGATACAGGCAGACTTCTTTTTTATTTCCGTTTAGTTTGAGACTATTTTTTCCTCTAGTTCATGATAGGATTTTTCACCTTCTTCTACTCTGAACATAACCAAGTTCTTGCGCCTAATATGTCTTTCTAAATTATTTATTGAGGTACTTTGTTCCTAGATTTTTTTCTCAAGAACTTCAATTTTTATTTCTAACTGTTTAAATTTCTCATTTAAGTATATTATTGTTGATTGTATTTTTAATGTCTTCTTTCATTTCCAACATTTCTAACATTTCTGTTTTCTGCTGTCTTATTTCTTGTTGCATGTTTATTAGCAACTTTTTTATGTTCTCCATCTTAAGTGTGAAGTTGGAAGTAGAAAAGCTGATTGAAAAAGAGCACCAATCATACCTAGTTGAATTGCAATTTTATACCGAGTACCTATTAGTTTTTGAGGTTATAAACTTATGTTTTAATATTTGACGCTTTCACTTCACAAATTATTTTGTTTTATTGTCATCACACACAGAAAAGATGGTTTTGCACTGATAGTATCTTTAAGTTATGTTTGTCACTTTTGTATTTGTTTGGTAGGTGAATTTTTAAAAGCTGATTTGTTCTTCAACACATCAAGACTTGGTGATGTTTACATATTGCCCATAGGTTTTATTTAAAAATTTACTAAGATTAGATTTAATTTTTCTTTAGATTATTTTCACTTAAATATATTTAAACTTGATGTAAATACGGACACGATGTTGACAGTTGCACAGTGGCGCCGCTCACTCACCAGAAGTGACAATGCAAAAATTGTGAAAATGCAAAAGAAAATCGCATGATAATTCGAAAATTCGCGTTTTTCCAGATATAAGACTAATCTAGATCGATTTATCGCCCCCGAAACCCCTTGCGTGCTAAATTTCATGAAAATCGTTGGAGCCGTTTCCGAGATTCAGATTATATATTGATATATATATATATATACAAGAATAGCTCGTTTAAATATATTATTTTAAAAATCTTCATATTATTTGAAATGATATTGTATATATATAAATTATCATTAACAAATAAATAAATAAAAAATCACAATAAATTAAATAATTCAATTGAGTAAATACTAAACATTTCACAATAATAAATATAAATAAAATTTCTTTCCATAGATTAATTCTGACAATAGTTATAAATTAGGTATTTCATTTCATAATTAAATGTATTTATTTAGTAAATGTCTTTTTCATGTATAGACAGACCCCTCTCGGTTAAAAGCCTCCTCCAAAGTAGTCCTGCATAGAGCTCTCCGTTGGAGATTATGCTTGTATGATTGCAAAGGGTTTCTCTCTCTCAAATTTTGTTTTCAATATATAATTTGTTTCTGATATGCCTATAAATTTTATAATTTTATCTTTGTGTTCTTTTGATTTGTTGTAGGAAATGCTGCTTTTAATTCTAGAAGTTTTTCTGGTGAAGATATGTATACCTTTGTTCATTGTATGTCTGTTTTTCTTTAGAGGGTTACGGTCGAACTCCCCCACAGTGACCGGCCGTACTGGTGGATAAAGATGAGGAGGTTCCTACGGTGTTTAATATACTATATCTTGCTGTGTTGTTTTTTGTTGTTCCTGGTTATCATTTGTGTGGTTGAAAGTTAATTTTGGGTTTTGTAATATAAAGTCTTTAATATTACCAGGTATGGTTTTCTTTGTATGCTGTTTATTTGTTAGTTTTTGTTTATAATTGAGGTAAGGCGTTTCTGGAGATACAGGCAGACTTCTTTTTTATTTCCGTTTAGTTTGAGACTATTTTTTCCTCTAGTTCATGATAGGATTTTTCACCTTCTTCTACTCTGAACATAACCAAGTTCTTGCGCCTAATATGTCTTTCTAAATTATTTATTGAGGTACTTTGTTCCTAGATTTTTTTCTCAAGAACTTCAATTTTTATTTCTAACTGTTTAAATTTCTCATTTAAGTATATTATTGTTGATTGTATTTTTAATGTCTTCTTTCATTTCCAACATTTCTAACATTTCTGTTTTCTGCTGTCTTATTTCTTGTTGCATGTTTATTAGCAACTTTTTTATGTTCTCCATCTTAAGTGTGAAGTTGGAAGTAGAAAAGCTGATTGAAAAAGAGCACCAATCATACCTAGTTGAATTGCAATTTTATACCGAGTACCTATTAGTTTTTGAGGTTATAAACTTATGTTTTAATATTTGACGCTTTCACTTCACAAATTATTTTGTTTTATTGTCATCACACACAGAAAAGATGGTTTTGCACTGATAGTATCTTTAAGTTATGTTTGTCACTTTTGTATTTGTTTGGTAGGTGAATTTTTAAAAGCTGATTTGTTCTTCAACACATCAAGACTTGGTGATGTTTACATATTGCCCATAGGTTTTATTTAAAAATTTACTAAGATTAGATTTAATTTTTCTTTAGATTATTTTCACTTAAATATATTTAAACTTGATGTAAATACGGACACGATGTTGACAGTTGCACAGTGGCGCCGCTCACTCACCAGAAGTGACAATGCAAAAATTGTGAAAATGCAAAAGAAAATCGCATGATAATTCGAAAATTCGCGTTTTTCCAGATATAAGACTAATCTAGATCGATTTATCGCCCCCGAAACCCCTTGCGTGCTAAATTTCATGAAAATCGTTGGAGCCGTTTCCGAGATTCAGATTATATATTGATATATATATATATATATACAAGAATAGCTCGTTTAAATATATAAGATTAGTTTTTGTATAAAGATGTTTACATGTACTCTTTGCCTGATTTTACAATTAGGTATGGATTTAACACATGTGACACACTTATATCACATGAGTTAAGAAAAGGAACAAAAACAAAGCTTCATACAACCGCGTTACGATAGGTACACTATACAAGCTTAAAAGCTAGAAACAAAAACGGTTATATATGTTAGATTTAGAATTTACCGTGCAATTAAACGGTACAAAAAAATATTGAAAACCAAAATTCAATAAAATATAATATTTAGAGTAAGTAATTTATAAAAAGATATTCTATCAAAGTTGTTTAATAAAAAGCTGAAAAACATTTAGCGTATTTATATTATATATTTTATGCTCCTTTTTTCTTTTTTTTTAACGTTGGGAAATGCATTTACGCACGAGGTGTGGGACTCACCGGCAAAACCAGTACAACCCATTAAACCCCAACAGAACCTCCCCCGTCTTAATGGGGCGACAGCTCTGCCGAAACAGACCACAACAACCATGGGGTTGCTTCAAGGTCCACTATGCTATCAGAGAAGTACCAGGAGCAACCCACATGGTACACCGCCAACGGAAGTGGGCCACCTCCCTGTGCATTTCTTGGCTTTGCGCATAGTTGAACTGCCGGACACTAATGAGCCCCAACCCCCCAACCCCCCCCCCCCCCCACCACCACGATAAGGTGAACCCTATTATATCACCCATTCAACATTTTAGCACCTATACATCTTACTGTCTAGTACCTCACTTACCTGGGCGACCGAGCTTCGCTCGGAGTTCTTTTTTGTTATATCGTGTTATTTAGATTAAAAAAACTGAAAACTTGAACATATACAAAAAAAACAAAAGTAAAACTTTGCATCCGACCGGTAATCAAACCCGGACACCTCTGATTGTCAATTTTGCACCTTAGGCCACGATGCTTATGCTCGAGCTTGCGAAATTAATCAAAAACATGCAAACTCCCAGACATAGGATCAATCTAGATCGATTTTTTGCCCCCGAAAACCTCCCCATACCAAATTTTAGAGAAATTGTTAGGGATGTTTCCAAGATCGCAGGTATAAATAAATAAATATACAAGAATTGCTCGTTTACTTATATTAGATTAGATTAGCTACTAGTATCTTAGATATTTGTACTGGCTACTATTTTTTGACAAACTTGACTAATTGTAAGCAAAATTCAATAAATAACAACCTACCTGATCAAAATCTGGATCTGTCTTTATTGTTTGTACTAGTAAGTCTAAAAGAGATTCCCTACTCTGCAGTGAACTGTATTCAATAAATGGCTGAATTTCTTCTTCTATACTCATTTTTACCAAATTTAACTACAAATTTTGTTTTATATTATTGAATAGTTTGAATGGTATATACATTTAATAAAATAACTAGCTAGCAGCTATAGTAATCATGGTTGCAAGTGTAGTAGGTATGTTATAAACATTTTGGTGACCTTCCATACTGGTTTAAAAATTATTTATATTTTTAAGTATGTATTTGTATAGCAAGAATTACAAATATTATTTTATAATACTTTTCAATATTATTCTATTATATAAAAGTTGATAAAATATTGAATAACTTAAGATTCTTAATTAATAAAAATACAATATAAGTGCAAAATCCCTTTGTTAATAAAAAATCTGATTTTAACATTAACTAGATAATGTAGCAACTAGCAATCTTAGAGACACTTAAATTCTTCACTTTTTTTTTATATTGATAATTAACTAACGCCCACTAACAGAAACACAGCAACAATACTACACTGAACACTCGAGTCTCGACGAACCAACTTTTAATTTAAAATAAAATATAGGTATTTTATTCTATTGATGAACAAAAGTCAGTAGAAAATGACAAATGACAATGTCTCATATGTCAATGTCACAATGTGACATAGATGTACTGCACATGTCAAGAATTTTTAGATGCATAGACAAGTCTATGAAGATTATGTATACTCTGATTCAATAAAAAAAGAATATAATTATAAATTAAGATTTGTTCGATAAAACATATTATAATTTATAAAAATCTTCATTAAGATGGAATATATAAGGATTCACAATTAACAAAAAAAATGCTTTTAAATGTGTTACTATATTAAAGTAAGTATATTTATTCATTTATTTATATACTATATAGTAGTGGCTTATTTCAAGTCAATTTTATTTTATAATATATATATTATGTTACTTACCACTTGACTATCATCAAACGTAATATGTTGTTCCACGCTTAGAGTCATTGAGTAAAAATATCTGAAACAACAAAATTATTGTAATATACATAATGTACAAACACATGTACTAAATAAATATAACAGTAAAAACTTAAACATATATAAAAATAAACAGCAATCTTAGTAGCATAGACAGTAGAGACAATTATTGAGTTATATTTAATCTGTAACCGACATTCGAAGGCCGAAGCATCAAAATGTACTCAAACGTCTAAGTCTAACGTAAAACGTCAATGTCAAAAAGGTTACTGTGGTGCGTGTATATTCACGATAAATAAAATTGTTTCCTTTAACTATAAAACAAATCAAAATTAAAATAAGGGTATGTACCTATTTTTTCAGAAGTTATCATCGTATACAACAATCAAGTTGGTACAAACACTTATAAACTATCTGCAATTGTGTATCAAATTGTTTGCATAAATACTATTTATACTTTTAGTACAGATTTTCCCACGAATGTGTTATTATAAAGTGCTTAACTCCAAATTACCTCGATTTTATAACCTATAATATTATATTGTGGGAGTTTAACAGTGTTTTGTATTACAGAGTTAAACATGATCATACCAGTACGCTGCTTTACTTGTGGCAAAGTAATTGGAAACAAATGGGAAGCATATCTTGGTCTTCTGCAGGCAGAGTATACAGAAGGGTTAGTATTATTGTATGTATTTTTTTACTAAAAAGTAACAAATTGTTTTGACCATTCATGAAGCAAAATATTCTGAGGAAACCCGCATATCTGAGAGAACCTAACAAGTTCTCTAAAGACCTGAAGTTAGCCAACCCACACATGGCCAGCGTGGTGGACGATGGTCTCATTCCCCTCATATCGAAGGGAGGTCCATGCCCAGCAGTGGGATGTTACAAAGGGCTGAATACAAGTGAATACATATAAACTTTGCAAATTATTATATTAAAATAAGGTGAAGTTATTTGTATGTATGTAAGTGTTCATGTTAGATAATATTTATTATTTAATATATTTTTAATCTATTTTATTTATTTATCAGTCTGGTAGCACTATAGTAAGAAGACCATCTTTGTGTATTATCAGCTTTATGTATTTTTTTAAATAACTTCTGTACCTATATATTATCTTTATATAAACATCAAACCTCATTATTTCCTTCCTTTTCTTAAATTAATGTCTGGTTAATATTTTTATATAAAACTTACATTACAAGGTGGGGTAAATACACCAACTTTATATATTTTAATGCTGGACTAGAAGACATTTATTTTATAATTTAAAGCCTTATATACTACTCAATAAAAGTATGAAAAGAAGCATTTGCATGATATTACTATAGTACTTTTAATTACTTAATAAAACAGTATATTTTGATAAGAATCAAATTATCAATACCAATTATTAGAATGTAGACATTCATTAAAGAAGCATAAAATTATTATATCCACATATGAATTATCAATTTGTATAAAAAGTTATATTTAAATTGTAAATCAATGATTGTGAAAGAAAATTTCTCATCTATCTAGACATTATGGTTAATTTTACCATAATATATAAATGGTTTTTTAAGCTATTGCATAGCTTCTATCGCGGGCCTTGAGCGTGGGGACCGAATCCAGAAATTCCGTAACGAAAAAAACCTGACACCACCCACTCCGACCGGCACAGCGGTGATTCTTTTTAGTTTTTCCATCTATCGATAAATACCAGAACTTTTAATGACTTTTTGAAATATCACGCTTGTCTCTTTAGTTCAGCAACCCGCCATTAGGTGGCATTGGTTGTATTGGAAAACTACCGTAATCAGCTGTTTGTGAGAAAGTATATAGGTGTATAGATATTTATCATCTATGTACAACAGTGAATATCTGTACTCGTATAATTTGTGTACAAAGTGTTTTAAATATGAATAAACAAAGTGCATTTATTAATGAAGAAAGTCAAGGAAAAAAAATACTGCATTAATAAAATAAATAAATAATTATAATTGCATAAGTAGATAAAAAATGCTATGCAATAGCTTTACCGCGGCAGTCTCTGAGTGCGACACGTCTTTTTTTAACATAAAATTTGTTTATTGACCAAAGATTTTTTTTAAACGAATGAATGAAATTAATTAATATTGTAGATTATATTATACACATAGGCTTAAGTAACTTGATATATAAGTACCTTAAATCTTAGTTCTAACTCCAAATGGCTACAAAAGGCTATGTAAAAAAATTCACTGCAATAAAATGAAATTGCCAATGAATAATAAACAAACTACACTTTCGTCTTCGTAAAATGGTCAGTAAAGACTACAGAACAAATAGTAAAAACCTTCAATAGAAAATATAACTTATCTTTATGTTTCAGTGACGCTCTGGATGCCCTCGGCTTAAAGAGATATTGTTGTCGTCGTATGTTACTGGGTCATGTCGATCTAATTGAGAAGCTACTTAACTACGCGCCCTTGGAAAAGTAGTTTTTATTCCACAGAATAGTTTTATAAGAGGTTTATATGTGATAAGTGACATTTTAATTGCTTAAAATTATGTATGTTAAGATTAAATTGTGTAAAATACAATATTGTTTTTTGATATATTTATTGATTTTTATTTTTATTCTATACTAGCTACTCATTTATAAGGATCCCCTTAAGGGATGATTTCCGGGATATAAAGTCCTTCCCAGGGTCTTAAACTATCTTCTTACCAAATTTAATCTAAATTGGTTCAGTAGATCCAGAGATTACCCTCTACAACGTTACAAACTTTACCTCGTTCATGTAGAATATAGATACCTTAGCCTACATAATACTTCGTTAAAATTCTTATTTTACCAATTAGAACAGTTTTTCTGGATCCAAACGTACAAAATCCATATTAATATTATAAACTAGTGACTTACCCTTGCTTCGCTCGGGTGTGTCCAGTAGTAGACACGTTTAAATAGAAAAAACCAGTTATTGTGAGTGTACCTTAGGAGAAAGACAATAGAGATGGTATTAGGGACTTTTCTGTAGGCCTTTTAAGACCTACTATTTCCTAGTACATTGTTTTAATGTTATCATATTTGTATTTTAATGAATAAGATTTAGCAGCGTTAGCTATGAAAATTCATAAGGACAACTCAACAGAACCAGTTGTGTTTTCACATAGAATGAAAGATTTTTTGCTAAATAAGTCGTTATAATTAGTAATAAATGTAATACAAAATGTATATTTTTTACAATTTTTTCGTATCTGTAAATACTTGGGTACTTCACTAGCCGTGTGCCAATTACACTCTTAAGTCTTATCATTTTCGTATGACTCTTAAGTTTTGATGCCTCTCGAGAGAAAGAATTTCAATGACAATGTAATTCAAACTACTACAAAGATAAAGTCTATCTAATCTTCTTTATTTGTAATACAATTATCTTTTAAACTCTTGCAAGTGAACTATAACGGTTTTAATTATCAAATTAAAACTGAAACTAAAAGTACTTATCTATACTAATATTATAAAGAGGAAGAGTTTGTTTGTTTGAACGCGCTAATCTCAGGAACTACTAATCCGATTTGACAAATTCTTTTTGCATTAGATAGCCCGTTTATTGAGGAGAGAGAGAGATTAAGGAAGGCTATAGACTATATATCATATAATATATAGTCTACCTATTTCATAATAAGTAATAACCGTTGAAACGTAACCGAGCGAAGCGAGGGTGAGTAGCTACTCACACTCACACACTACACACAACTCACAGTTTATTTTATAACTTTCAAAATATACCTATCATGTTTTTCTTTATTATTTTAAATACTTAGGCTTATACAAATACGTCCGATGGTAATCATTATTATAAAATTAAGTACCTAATAACTATTCTTTAGAATAATGTTCTCCGAGACCAATCATTTTTTTATTATTAGTGTATTTTGGTATTTTAACTGCCTCGGTGGTGTAGTGGCTAGCATGTAAGGCTGCACACCAGGAGGTCCTGGGTTCGAGTCCCGGGTCGGGCCAAGTTTAGTTATTGAGTCTTTCTGTATAGTAAGCCTCAGTAACAGCCCGGAGTTGGGAAGATGGCGGTGTTTCACCCCCGTGCCTCGGAGAGCACGTAATGCCGTCGGTCGTGCGCCTTAACTCAAACCGGTCGTGTCGAGTGGTCGTCCCACCGGAGTATGAGAGTGACAGGAATAGAGAGTGCACTTGTGTCTGCGCGTACACTTGTGCATTATAATATCTCCTGCGCAGTTGGCTAGTCTCAATGAGATTGGCCGCCGTGGCCGGAATCGATCAGGAGAACATCATTTTGGTAACAACAATTCTGAGTTTAATACTTATTCATCATTTATTGTTTTTCCCGTTAATTTACCTTGTGAACAAAATAAATCTATATTTTGAATTTTGATATAAATGATATTCCATCGATTTATTTCAATGATATAAAAATATACTTACTTATTTACTTCTTTATCTTATTAAATAGAAAAGACAAGGGACTGTGAGACTCTTACTCACTAAGACTCACAGCGGAACCCTATAAGGGATCACTTACATTGCTTTACAAATATACATGTTTAATAAGGCGAACGGATCAGACGTTGTCATATAGGTACCTAAATACTTAAAGAATGTTGTTTCCGGATCTTTAATTTCCCTAAGGTTAAATGTGTTAGAATATAACTATACCTCTCCGTCACTCTGCGGCCCATAAACTGTCTATACAAAAATAATAATTATAAGCATTTTTAAAAATAAGCATATCTATAGTAGGTACCTAACTATATTTAACTACGTTTTAAAAATTCTAAAAACTATAGATTCGGCCATAAATCGGTATATATTCGGCATAATGACTATTTCGATAAGATTTTCCAAAAAATATTTAATGTAAGTACATATTCGACTCAGTTAGAATTTTACTATAAATAGGTATCTATATTTAATGAAATTATACTTTGTAAACTTTATGTTGCATTTATTAAACCAGTTGCAAAAAGCCGTTTGGCATCGTGATTTTTTCTTGCGCAACAAACTTGTTGCTACATTTAAAAAAGACAAAACATAAATGTCATTTACATATTACATATATTATTTATTACTAGCATTGCCCGCGGCTCCGCCCGCGTTCAGATGACCAAAAACCAAATTCTTAGGTTTTACATATTAGTAACTCTTACATTGCAGTTTTTGTATTTTTTCTCAGAAATGAGATATTTTCCCGCGGTAAAAAGTATCTTTTATGTTGACCCGGATAACCAGCTACCACCATACCAAATTTCATCAAAATCCCTCCAGTGGTTTTTCTGTGATGCGGTAACAGACAGACAGACAAAAATTCTAAAAACAATAGATTCGGACTCTATATTGATGATAATGTCTATTTCAATAAGATTTTCCAAAAAATATTCAATGTACAGATTCGGCTTAGTTACAATTTTATTATATGTATAGATTACTGAGGCCAATTTTCAAAAAATATAGCTAATAGTTTTGCCATAACGTCGTGATTTTACCGAATGTACTTACTAGAGTAGAAAGAAAATGTTAATAACGAAATCACCTTGCCCATTTACCTGTTGCAAGTTGTGATGCACTTGTGCTAAGGTTAAATCTGTGTGATCCGAATTATAAAACGAAATTATTGCATTTTCTATGGAAAGGGAAAGAAAAATAGTAAAAATAGTGTAATAGTAACAGAAAATACTTGAAGGTAATAATCTGTTTATTTGTTAATTTTATTAACACATCCTAAGTAAGGGGTAATATACAGGACCCTAGTATAAGTACTGAGTCGTTACAATAACGGGATTTGTCGCATTACTGTAACGATGAGTACCTATAGTTAAAAAATATAAAATAAAGGGTTTAGGCTATAGACATGAACGAATTGTGGCTAATTCGGTAATGGCTATAGATTAAAAATTGCATGAGAAAAAGCTTAGGTAAAATGTTCCGTTATTGAAACACACCGCCTTTCTCTTTTGATGGAATCAAATTATGCCATTGAGGTTACTGTTGACAAATTTATCTATATTAAATGTTAGTGTTAGATATAAATATATGTACAATCCGTATAAAATTGTCTATTCTTTACACACACCAAGCCTTACTACAAATCTAGGAACACAATATTATCCAAAGGTAATTTCTTATGCTTATTTTCCCTTTGAATTAAAAGTAGGTATATCGACTTACCCTAGCTTTTTGTAGGGAGTCCTTAGGTGGGTAGACCTACCAGTAGGCTATGTATTACTCCAGGTATTAGTGTAACTATATACTTTATTTCATCCAAATCGGTCCGGCCGTTACTGCGTGAAGAAATAACAAACACACATACACACACACACACACTTTCTCATTTATAATGTAGCCCTTTTTATCGTCCCACTGCTGAGCACGAGCCTCCCTTAAGTAGGAGGGGAATCAGGCCATAGGCCACCACGATGGCCAACTGTGGGTTGGCGGACTTCACATGTCATTTGAAAACGTGCTAAGTTCTCTCAGACATGCAGGTTTCCTCACGATGTTTTCCTTCACCGTTAAGACAAGTGGTAATCATGTTGGAAATGATTCGCACATGAAAGTATCAGAGGTGTGAGCCCCGCGATTTGAACTCGCTTCACTCGGTTTCCCAAGCGAGCGCGTAACACTGGGCTACCACTGCCCCCAAGTGGCAATTAGTAAATATGTTTTCTCCCTACTCTCCAAGGAAACCAGTTTACCCACCACTGGACCATTTGGGGATTCCTGTTTTGTGAATCTCATCTGATTCTGACTCTCACATCTGATGTTTTAAAATTTTTAAAGTTTTCATAGCTAGCTAACTTCATTACATCGGATAGATAGCCTCACCATGTAATTATCAGATTAAACATATATTTTTGTGTTAACTTGTATATTGTCTAGATATTACAATGAATTATTATTATCTAACTTAGAATAAAATTTAAGTGTAGAATATCTTATTTTTATCAGTCAATGCTCAATCGTGTCATCTCCATTTTACGCGATAGGCATTGACGAAATAAATTGTGGCAAATTGGCATACCTAAAACCCATAAAACTAAGTATGTACTAAATAAATATACATTTTGTAGTAATTTTGTAAGTCTTCCATAGCAGCAAGACGTTTAATTTAATTAAACATTTATGTACTTCTGTGGATATACCTATAGTTCAACGTAAACTTCTATGTCAAATAATTATAACAGAAAAAAATTATAGAATATTTCTATGAAGGTGTCTCCGTACATTTTTTGAATGTTTTTAATTTTCATACTAATTATTTTATAGAAATATTATCTTCTTGATAACTAATCTAAGGAAAATATGCTTCTTTTCCTATTGTTTAAATCTCACTGAGAAACATTTCTTAATCTTTTCAATTACTCGATCCAGCATAAAGTTTCTTATTAACAAGTAATATATTAGATCAATTTATAACACATCGGTAACATATTACTACTTAGTTTTAGTGGTACTGGTGGT